CGCGCTCCCCACCCTTGCCCCCCCGCGGGCTCCTCCGCGCCCCCCCCCGGGGCCCAGCCGGCCCGAGGGGCCTGGGGGGCGCCAGGGTGGCCCCACTCCCGCCCCGGCGCCCTCGCACTGCCGCCCTGCGCCTGTTTCTCTCCTGGTCCAACGGCCATGGAGACCCACCTGCATGGAGGTCATCAGGCCGACCCTCTGCAGAGTGGCAGGATTCGTTTTCTTAAAAGAAAACCAGGCCTGGCCTCTCAGCCACTCAGGATCTGTCTCCATGAGGGCTAGAAGCTTTTTTTTTTAAGGAAAACTAGCACAGGCAAGAGAGAACAAATGGGAGGCCTAGGCACTAAGATTCTGCCCCACATTCCAGGATTTTGTCTGTTCGGAAGGGCAAGGAGCCCTACAGAAACGTACCCCGTGGTGGAAAGCGCCCGGCCTCCAAGCAGCAGCAAGTGCCGGTCGCACACAGGTTGGCCAGGAAAACCTGCCGGCGGACTCCCAGGGGGTGGGCGGGCAGCAAGCTCAGCCCTTGGGGCGATGGGGGTGGGATGGGCCAAGCGCTTGGCACCGTTGGCCCCAGAAGTTCGCAGCAGGGTGACCCTCCGTGCGCTTCCAGGGCCTGCCATTCTGGGAGCAACCTCTCTGCCTCTGACCTGATCACGCTCCCTGGGCCAGAGAGTTTCCTTTTCAAACAGGCCCCCGAGGGGCTCCTTTGGGGTGCTTAACTGGCTCGGTTCAAGCACAGGGGGTGGCGAAGGTGTACGACTGACTCCGCCTGACCCGAGCTGCCCCTCTGCAAAGCCCGGGGCACCAAACTGCAGCCTCCCCGCTTTTGCCTCGCGGTTCGGGCTTCACAAGGCGAGTCAAAGAGAAGAACTGCAGACAAGCCAACTGCAGTGGCGAGTGAAGCAACGTCACGCGGTGGGACTTTGAGGTGCTCAGGCAAAACTGCTCTGCCAGGCCTTAGCTGCTCCTCCCGGACGTGGAAGAGATGCCTCAATTTGCAAAGAAAAATTGGACAATGAATGCACAGGGCCAAACCCCACAGGGTGATATTTTTCAGGCAGCCATGTGGAATATGCTCTTAGAGGGCAAAACCCTGTGCCTATTTAGACAGGAAAAAACACTCTGCATGTGCCTGCATTTCCCCAACTGCCTATTTCAGAATTTTGCACCCTCCTTTTCTAACCGAGATGTGGATTCACAATGCAACCTGCCACATAAATACTTCTTTTTGCAAACATTTCTACTGTACGTGGTTCTGCTTGCCATCTCCTGCGGACGGTGGGTATTGGAATCCAGACCCACAACTAGGTTGCAGAACCACCACACACTGGTACCTTTCGCACAGAGCCAGCCCGAGCTGGTCCGCTCAGCGGGGCTTTCCTCAGGGTCTGGTGGGAGCGCACTGTGGGTGATGCCATTCCGGTGCCCCTGGCTTCAACCCGCTGGACTTCCAGAAGCAGGGAATGGTTCCCGCTCCTCGCTCACTGGGCCAGGGGAGACAGAACGCTGCCCCCGGGGCGAAGCACAACGGGCAACCGTGAAGAAAGCAGAACGGAAAGGAAAAGTCCAGGCTCGCTGACCTGAATCTCTTGGGGGAGAAAGCCGCTTCTGCACTGAGGATTCCCCAAGCGCTCCATCGTGGCAAAGAAGCCCCAGGGCTCAGATTGCCATTAGACGCTTGTTCTGTCTCTTCTCTCCAGCGGTCGGGAAAACAGAGCAGCGAAATGCTTTTGTCTCGTGGCAAGCGATCCAAGAGCAAGGCAGCTGGCGGTCCCTGCCGAGCTGTGCTGGCTTGTCTGCTCCTCCGTGGGGCCTGAGGAACACAAGGCAGGCCCAAAGCCCTTAGCCGTGCAGCGGGCAAAAGGCTGCCCGCCCCCCCACAAAGACAGGGGCTCCCCTTGCGTGCTGTGTCGGGCTTCCCGAGACCCAGACGGGGATGTCCTGGCTTCAGCGGCTGTGCCGTTCCCTGCCTCTCCATCGCCCACCCAGAATAACCTGCTGCCCCGGAAAAGCCGCAGTCCCTGCTTCAGATCTGGGGAGAAGTGCAGTGTTCCTTGGGAACGGCTGGCTGGGCATGCTGGGAGCTGTGGGGTTGGTCTGAGCACACGCCCTCGTGCGCTCGACGATGCGAAAATGGCCGTGTTCCATCCCAAAGGCCTCTTTTCGGAAGCTTCTGCAATGAGGGCAGGCAGAAGGCGTAAATCAAGGGAACAGAAGGGCGAGCGAAAAGCCAGGCCTCCGCCCGCTTTGCAAAACGCGCCAGTTCCGGCCCGCTGGCCTGTGTGCAGGACGCAGGCACAATCTTTCCATCTCCTGCAGGGCTCACAAGGGCAAGCCCAAGAATTTGCAGTGGCTTATCCCACAGGTTGCTGTGGCGAAGTCACATCCATAAAGCAGGAACATTTGTTGAACGGGGATGGGAGAGGAAAGGGGCAGAAATTCAAGGCAAAGTCATGACGACTCTGCATACGTGTTACAATTATTTGGAGTAAATGACGGTCTCTTTTGTGCCTTGATCGTCACCTACAAAAAGAGTCTATGATAAGAGAAATTGAATTTGAAAACCTAAATTGTCTATCATTTCCAAAACTGAGTAAAATTAATCAACCTTTCATTGAAAATCGAGATCTGCAAATCTGCAAAAAATATTTATGCATTTATACTGACGCCAGAATCTGGAGTCGCAAGGAACTATTTGGGGAAGCGAGTCAAAAGCCTCGACCCCCAAATGCTGGGAATTTTATTTAGACATTCCTTGGACATTTAAATTCACTGGGCATTGCCCGCCTCAAGTCCATTTGTGCAGTCAAGTGAGGACTAGAAACCTGCTTGCCTAAAAGCCAAGCCCGGGATTCTCGCAAAGTAGAGCAGGTCGCGTTCCTCTTTTCCTGCTGCTAGACGAGAAGCGGGCAAGGCCTGCCTCCTCCAGCGGGACCCGGGCAGGCTAATGCATGCCACGTACGTCTGCATGTGCAAGCCATTTAAAAATCAAAAATCCATTCCAGCCTAGCAATCCTACACGGGGGGGGGGTCTCGAATTGCTGAGGGCCACTTTTGAGGGCTGGAGCCACGCCATCCTCTCGCGCGCACAGGTCACACGGCTCCCTTCCAGCCGGTACGCATCTTGCCGGCTGCTCGGTCCTGGTCCTCCTCCTCCTCCTCCTCCTCCTCCTCCGTGCCAGTCAAGCGTGGCCGTAACCTTCTCGCCTCGGGCGATGCGCCCCGCCAAGCGCCCGCTCCGCCTGTGCGCCACCTCGGTGCACCGTCCCGGCGACGCGGAGCGCGCCCGTGGGGCCGCACGGGGTGCGGAGCCAGGCGAGGCCCGGGCCGGATGCGCAGCCCTCCCCGCGGTGGCCCGCAGTTCCAGGAGGCGCCAGAGGGGGCGGGCTGCCTGCCACGGAGGCTCGAGGAAGGCGCCTGGCGGCACGCGCGCTGCCCCCGAAGGGCACGGCACGACGCAGGGACCCCGGGGCCTGTGGGGGGGAGGCAGCCCCGCGCGGCAGGGGCCTGGGGACGGGCAAGCGCAGGGGGCCCGGCCTCGGCGCTGGCCAGCGCCCTCCCCAGCACCACCAGGCCCCGTGCCCGGCGCTCCCCAGGCCGCCAAGGGAGCCGCCATCCGCTGCGGAAGCGAGCCGGCGCGAGCGGGGCCCGGCGGGAGTCCCGCGGGAGGAGGGGGCGGCGGGGGCAGCAGGAGGCCCATCCGGAGCCCCGGCCCACCAGTGAGACGTGCAGCGGCACAGACCTGGAAGACGCTTCTCGGGACCGGCAGCTGCTCCTGGAAGGCCGCCCGGGGGAAACGGCAGGTGGGGCTTAACTGGGGCTGGGGGAGGGTCCCCGCAGAATGCAGCCCGGCTCTCCAGCCTCCCCAGAACGGGCTCCACGCGGGCGCGCAGCCAGGCTGCTCCGCGGTCCAAAGGCAAAGCCCGCCGACGCCCCCTCCCCGGAGCCGCTTTGCTGTGCTTTGCTGTGCTGTGCTTTGCTTTGCTTGCAAAGGCGCGTGGGCTCCAAACAGCTCGCCGCTCCCAGCTGGGAATGCCGCCTCCCCACCTGCGCTGCCGGCCCCCACGCTCCATGGCGCGCTCCATCCGAGATGAATCACTGCGCACATTCGTGCAAGAGCCTCGGCGAGGGAGTGGAAGGCGTGTTTCTTAATCATCTACCCACTCTGCTTTCGAGACCCCGGCACTGCAAAGAGCAGCCCACCAGAGACGCGAGTGACCTGAACAGACGACTGGGAAGCGGCCCCGCCACCCTGCAGCCCACGGCCGGTCTGGAGGAGGGGGCCTCGCAGAGGCGGCTGCCACAGAGCCTGCGGGGGGGGGGGGGGTCAGAGCCCCTGCTGTGGGGAGGCAGGCCTACGGGCCCAGAGAAGAGGACAGGCTGCCGGGCTGGCTTTGCCACGGGAGCGTCAGGGTGGGAAGCAGAGCCCGGGGTGGGGCTCCAACCCCCGGGCTTCACCCAGCTGGAGGCCAACCGTGCCCCCCACCCCACCTGGCTTCTCCTCTCCCTCTACCAGCCCATCTGCCTGCCCCTCCTCATGTTCCAGTTGCCCTGACCAAAGCGCCACCTCTTCTCCCGCCGCTGGTTGGTACCAAAGGTACGAAGCTGAGTGTGCCCGTTTCCATGCACCCTCAAGTCCGTCAAGGCCCCCCTCTCTCTCTTCAACTCACCCCACGTGCCAAAAGGTCCCCCCGTGTAGCCAGGGGAGCAGGCATCTGAGCGCAGGAAAACGTCTCAGCAGAAAGTGTGGGGTGGGGGAGAGGAGAAGTGCAGGGAGCCAGGGAGACGGGATCGGGGCACAGGAGGGGCGGCCTGCAGGTTTCCTTCGGCTAGCGCCCTCGGACAGCCGGGGGGGAGGCGGAGGGTTTCCCAGAGTCTCAGGGCTGCCCCCCAACTCTGCAACCCCGTTCTCCTTGGCTCCACGTGGGGGTTTCTCCCACTGGCCCAGGCTTAGCCACTCCGGTCCGAGCTGCTTGCCTGCCACCCCGCGCCAGAGCCCAGCCACTGGCTTGCGCCCGACAGGCCTCTCCGCAGGCTCCGCTGGCAAGCAATGCTCCTTCGCCCCAGCGGCTGCGCAGCGGCTTCTGTCCTTCCTTCTGTCTGTCGCCAGCAAGTCTGAGCTTCCCTTGAGTCGCACGCTCCGGCCAGCCCGCGCCGACTCCGTGTATTGGGCCGCAGTGCACGGAAGACACAGGCCGCGGCGAGGAGGAATCCCTGCTCGGCCCTCCAGCTCTCCCCTCCGGACGTGGGCCAGGGGGCACCTGAGCCTTGGGCCCAGGAATGTGCCACAAGTGTCGCGCTAAGCAGCTGTGCTCCTGGATCACGCTGCGGGGGTCCTGTGCAGCCCCCCGAAAGGAGGCACGCGCTGCATCGGGGAGCGGGGCCCCACCAGATCCAGGGGAACTGGCCCACAGGCACCGCTAGCCCGGCGCCAGGCTCCGTCTCCCTCGCCTTCCACAGCGCACGTGCGCACACGCATTCGCCCTCACTCACGGCCGGGGCAGGGGAAAGGGAAGGGCTGCGGCCCCCTTACCTTCTCCTCCACCCCTCCAAGAAATGAAGCCAGATACAAACAGGTGTACAACTGAGAGCTTTATAAGTTGGAATGGAGGAATGCGCCGCTGGGGCATTTCCCCCCCAGCAAAAACGGGAAGGAGGGGAAAAAAGGACCAAGGAAAAAGCGAGAGAGGCTGCAACCAGGGGACTTTGCGTGGAGCCGGACCAGGAGCAGCGGGCGCACGGTGCCAGGGGAGCAGCGCGGGGACGTGCCGGGGAGGGGGTCCTGGGCGTGCCTCCTCCTGGGGGCGAAGGCGCCAGGGGCGCGCTCCACGCCCCCTCCTTCCCGCGAGCAGAGCAGCGCATGGAACCGGGGACCAGGGGAGGACGGCCTGATGGGATACCTGAGATGGCGATCCGTTCATGCAGGGGGGCTCCTCGCGAGGGGGCACTTCCCTACCTACCGAGGCAACGCTGAAGAGGAGCCTGGATCCGGAGCAGCGGCCACAGGCGAGCACAGCTTGGGAGTCACTCGGGGGCCGGGGGCCGGGGGAATGTTGCAGCAGCCCGAGTCCAATCCGCACACGGCAGCACAAGGGCGACGGGATGCCCTGGAAGGATCAGCCGGGGTCTCTCGAAGCTGGCCGGGGGGGGGGGGGGGGGGGGCAGCACGGCAATGCGGAGGCCTGCGCAGAGGGAGGGGGCCTGCTGGAAGGAACCACCGCGGAAACACCAAGGCGGGCGGGCGGGCAGACAGACAGGGAGGGAGGGCCACAATTCTGCACAGCCAGGACGGGTGGCGCTTCCAGCCGTGCGTGCAGGAGGGGAGAGGACCCCCTGGGCTCTGGGCCAGGAGGGGCCACCCTCCCAGTGGCGGGGCCAGTAGGAGCGGAAGCACGGGCCGAGGAGCTGCGGCGGCGGCCGTCCCGGGGCCCTCCTGCCCCACAGAGCGCCGTCCCTGCCCCTCCACGCCTCCGCCAAGCCGGGTCCCTGAGAGGCACTTGGCCGCAGTCGGCGGCTGCCCGGGACAGCGAGAGGCCAGCCGAGGGGAGGCGCGGCAGGCGGCCCTCCCCTCCCGCACTGGCTCCGAGTGGGGCCCCGGCTCTCCTTCCCGAACTGCACAGCAGCTTCTAAGCGGTGTGACGCCTGGAGCCACACGAGCCAGAGGGGTCTCTGTGCCCCCAGCCAGAGGACGGCCGGGCTGCCCCACAGGGTGGTCGCCCCGCCCGGCCTGCCCTTGGCCTCCCCAGCTGTAACCCTGCAGCTGAGCTCAGCACCACAATTCTCCCCACAAGGTCCCGGAGGAGGACTCGCCCCACCAGCCCACAGCTCTGGTAAAAAACAGCAAGGCTCCGTCGTCAGGCTTGGTGATCTCCGGAGCACAAAGAGCAGCGTGCCTCCACGAACGGCCTCCTCGCTCCGGAGAGAAGCAGTCTGGCCCCAGGGGCCCCTCGTCCGCCTCCCTCTGCTGAGCCCCGGCCTCAGCAGAGAAGGTGCCCGGCCGGGCCAGGAGCCCGGAGGAGGCAGCAAGCGCCCCTCTGGATCCCACCTGTCCGTGGGGTGCAGTCGGTCCGGGTGGCAGGAAGGAGCCACGGCAGCTTCGCCCATCCGCCTCCCGGCCAGGGTCCAGCTTGAGAGCAGCCACCGGCAGCTGACCACCAGGACGTCGGCACAGCGGGGGGCTACAGCTCCTCATAGTCTCCACCCCCCTGCTGCTTGCCGGCTCCTGCCCTGCCCCCGAGAAAGGCCTCCAGCTCGTCTATCTCGCTGCTCCTCTCTCTGCCTCGCGGCTGCTTCTTCTTCCGCTTCCGCTCCTTCTCGTCTTTGCCCTCGTCCTGCTCCCTGCTCTTCTTCGGTTTGCTCTTCTTCTTCGCTGCGGCCTTCTCTTCCTCCTGTGTGAGGGCAGAAAGCGCGCATTGGACAGACGGAAGGCAGGCCCGGGGTCCCGAAAGGCCAGGCTGTCTCTTCCGATGAGCCCACCCCCGACTGCATGCCAGCCCGGCTTGCACAGGCTGACCGGGAGCCGACCTGCGGGCGTCTGGAGGGGGAGAAGACGTGTTTGCGGCCAGAAACAAGCTCTGCGCAGCCCACAAGCGGGGGAAGGAGTGTGGGGGAAGGAGGGTGGGGGCTGGGGGCTCGCCCCAATATCTATTTCGATGAAAAGAGCGAGCAGACGAGCTCAGGGGAAGCCGGTCCCTTCGGGGGATTCGCCATGGCGCCCCGCTCCACTCTGGGGGCTCTCAACCGCTGCGGGGGACCGTCCGGGGCCCTGCTGCCCCCTGGCGCACGCGTGTTCAGCTGCTTTTGCACACTGCTCTGGGGAAACGTGAGAGCACGCACCTCCTTGCCGCTCTTCTTCTTCTTCTTCTTCGTCTTCTTCTCCTTGGAAGATGGCTTATCTGCAGCCAGCGTGGGGAGGTAGAGACAATCAGCACACCTGTCGCTACGCGGCAGCGGCACCCAGTCCACCTGTCGCCAGGCGCGGACACCCTCGCGTGGCTCCACAGAGCGATGGCACGCAGAGCCAGCCTGGCCCCGGCTCAGGGCGGCCGGCGCCTGCTCCCCCAAGGAAAGGGCCCCTCGCACACAGCACAGGCCGGCCCAGGCAGGGGGCATGGCCCTCCTGCAGACGCCGCGGCCGTTCCTGCAAGCCCCGCCTGGGCGGCCACGATCCAGAGGGACCCCGGGTAGCCACGTGAGCAGCCCCGTCGCCAGCGACGGCCGGCTTGCGGCAGCAGGGGCTGTTCCAGCACCTCCCCCTCCCCTCGGGGTCCTGCAAGACGCTAAGCGACAGGCCAAGTCCAGCCCACGGCCTCCCCTTCGGTCCCCGGGGGAAGGCACCGCGAGGGAGGGAGGGTCTCACGGGGCCCTGGCGCTGGCCTTCCGCGGCTGGCACACGAGCGGCGCACGCTCACCTTCCTCGCTGCTGCCCCTGGGGCCCGGCTCGACCAGGCCCAGCCCAAAGAGATCGGAGTCATTCTTCGGCTTGAAGGAGTGCAACACGGGCTTGGCGGCCGGGGGGGCGTTGGGGGGGGCTTCTTCGTCAGAGATGTCGGAGAGGTCCTCTCGCACGGGGAATTCGTCCTAGACACCAAGGCGCCACACGGGTCAAGCCCTCCGCTGCAGCCACTGCCTTCTTCCAGGCAGAGCCCCCTGCGCTCGGCTTGGCAATCGCACGCCGCCCGGCACTGGTGCTCTCGGCCAACGGCCGCACCGAGGAAAGGCCTCGAGCGGCACGGCTAGCTGTGGAGCTGCAGGCTTTTCTTCTGCCTAAACGTGCCCAGGCCACTGGGGCTCCGGCTGCAGCTCAGCGCAGGGGCACACGCAAGAAGAGCTCGGAGGGACTGGGCCAAAGGAACAGCAAGGTGCTGTGGGGCCTGCTCCTGGCTCCCCCCGCCACCGTTTCCAGAGCCTCCAGCATTACGGAGCCCCTGTTTAAACGCCTACAACCAATGCGCACTCGACCCCCCCCCCGGAAGAATGATCACAGAGGAGACCGCCCAGCACTGGCCCCCTCCTGCAGGCCACCAGCCCCCGGCAGAGCCAAGAACACTCCTCACACCCCACTCTCGAATTTCAGGGATGTGGGAGCTTTGCGTTCGGGCTGGACGGCCTCTCCAAAGGCCACCTCCCTCCGAAAACCAACTGCCAGAAACCACAGGGAGCGGGGCTGCGTGGGATTCCTGGGAGCTGGCCAGACAGAGCTCTCGTGGCCAGGGAGGGGGGCCGCCCAGCCTGCATCTGCAGAGGACACGCACAGCCAAGAAGGGCAGTTCTGAAGGGCCTCTAGGACCCTGCCTCGAGAAGCACACGCTGAAACGGTAACTTTTGCCTGGGCAAAATTTGGTTCTGCAAGTCTTCGGAAGAAACTGCAGGTGGAGCTATTAAATCCACGGCCTTTGTCAGCTACAAATCCTGCAGCTTAGAAACCACACAAACTGGCCTAAAATATGCGGCCCACAGGAGGCGGCACGTGGCCTCTCGTGAAGCAGCATCTCACATGCTGATGCAGGAGCACGGGCTCTCTTCTGATGCCTCGCAGCCCTGAGGAAACCGCCCTGATTCCTCTCACAGAAGTGGGATGATCAATGAGCTGTGCCCATTCGGCGGAGCTACCAAAAACGGGCTCGGGACACTTACGCTTCTCTTTCTCTGGTTGTCCGACTCCTCGCTTTCGAAGTCTGGGTCATCCATGACAAAGGAGAGCATCTGGGTGGCGATCGGTCCCTCGGGGTCGCTCTCCGATTCCTCCTGCTTGTCCCTCTTCTGCTTGGGCACGGAAGCCTGGCTTTGGGGTCCAGCGTTTGGGGGCCGGGCTGCCGCTGCCGCCACGGCCACTGGGGCAGGGGTGCCCGGGGCTGCAGCTGCCACGGGAAGCTGGGTGCTCCCGCCTGGCTCCAGCCCCAGTGGGGCAGGGAAGCTGGTGGGAGCCATCAGGTCAGCTGCCTTGATAGATGCTACTGGTTTGTGGAATTTTGACGACTTTTTGGTAGCTCTAGAGAAGGATGAAAGGAGAGTGGTCAGCTCAGGGCGACTCCACCTTCAGTTCGCTTCTCCCCCTGCCCTGAGCACAGAAGAGCAGAGCGGGGTGTGCACTGAAGTCGCGCAAAGCCCGTGGCATCCAAACTCGCGTCGGCTCACATGCCAAACCCACGTCTGTGAGAGGCCGCCAAGCCAGAGCCTACAAGCCACAACGGAAGCCGGTTTACAAGCCACGCTTTGCACCGATGGTGAGCTGGCACTACTGAATCCGCAAATCGTGAGCAAGATACTGTTGTGCCCACCCCTCCAGGAAGGAGACAAAAGCAGGCTTGAAAAGCTGGGCAGATGAAGAGGGAAGCAGCCGCAAACTCTGGCCGGGCTGCGGTACCTGTGGAAGCTCAAAGCCACAGAGCGGCTCGCAACCCGGGCGAGCCCGAGCCAGAATCTGACAGGCCCCGGCTCCAGAGCAAACGCTGTGCTCCCCACGGGCTGGTGAAGGCACGCGGAGAGGCCACGGGGCCAGCTTCAGCTCCCCACCCGCAAAGGCCTCGCCGACCGCTCCCGGCAGCCTCATACCGCTTGGCCCCCGGCTCCGGGTCGGTGTCTTCCTCCGCCACGGTGCTGAGCCTGGCCTCCGGCTCCTCTCCGGACTCCTCCTCGCTCAACAGCGCAACGTTCTGGCTTGGGACCAGCTCTGCCCCCAGAGGGGGCTTGCTGGGCACATGGTCCTCTGCATCCAGGTCTTCTTGAAAGCTGGCCACGAGGGGGTTCCCCCCGGGGGCTTCCCGGTCACTGCAGGAGACGTCGGTGGGGAAAGTCAAGGCTTGCGGCCGGGGGAGGTAAAGCAGTGCCGGGCAACCTTTAAGAAGCCCCCTCGAAAACCAAAGGGCCGCCTGCCGCACAGGAAGGTCGACGGCCCCCCGGGGCCCCTTCCCAGCTCTCCCAGCAGAGACCCTTTCGCTCAAGATACTGCCTGGCACAAAAGGCAGGCGTCCCGCCGTTACGCCGAGAGCCGAAGGGCCTCGCCAGTGCTACCCGAGCATGCCGTGCTTCCCAGGCAACCGGACCGCAGCGTGCTGCAGGCAGGGGTCTTTCGAATGGAGAGGTGAGCGAGCCCCGAGCCCCCAGCCCGGCTGGGCCCATGGGGGAGCAGCCCCTGCCCTTCGGGGAAGCCCGCCAGCACCGTCTTCCCTGCCGGGGAAGACGAGCCAGGGAAGGGGCACGCCATTTTCACCCAAGGCTACCGAAAAGGCCCGGTCCTTCGGCCTTTTCTTCTTCAAAGAGAGCTGTCAGCCATGACCACGATCTTGGAAAAGGGCACTGGTAGCCAGCAGAGGAACTGGGTCATTCCCAAGAAAGGGGGACGGATGCCAAGCCACCAGCGCCCCCCCCGCTCTTCTCGGAGGCAGCGCTGCAGTGAGGGAGGGACCATCGCGGTGCCCCAAAGCAGACCTGGGGGGGACCATGCATTCTGGCTCAGCAGCCCGGAGCGCAGAGCAGGGGGACGCGGCGACGCCTGCACGGCGACCATGGGGCTGAGCCAACTCCACCTCCGGCACCATCGCCCGGGAGGGGGAGGCGGACCCTGAGCCAGGGAGGCTGCACAAGGCGCCTGCCCCGAGCCAAGTGCATGTCCGGGAACGCCCGGAAGACGCGCGCGTGGCTGAGGGAGGGCAAGCGAGGCCGAGGGGCTTCCAGGCCCGGCTTTCACAGCAGCCGGTGGCAGAAGCATTACCACAGCCGAGCGCAAAGAAGGGGGATGGAGCCCACCCAACGGCCTCGTCTTCGGGGGCAGCTGCGCCTCAGAGCAGCCCCTGCAGGGCGGAGGCAGAGCCCTGCCTGGCAGGCCGAACAGCCCGGCTCTGCTCCTCGCAGGGCTGGGAGAGATCCCTGCTGGTTCCCGTGACCGGTGCTGACGGGACGATCCGAGGATTCACGAGGCCACCTTGTGCCTCCGGTCAGCCACGTTCCGTGCATACGGCTGTGGCCGATTTTGTCCACTGGAAGTTGCTGCTTAGTGCGCTTGCCTTCAAAGCGTAGTTTTGGGGGACAAGACCCTGTTGTGGTCTGAGGTGGGGCAGACTTGGGTGGACCCCCCGGCCCACTGTGTGGATTCCTGGCTGGGAGGCAGAGCAAATGCACTCTGGGGACACTGCCAGGGAAGGCCCCGAAGGCTCCTGCACGCCAGAGAGGCCCGCACCCCCTCCGCTGGGCCTGGAGGCTGCCATGCGTGGCCACACAGAATGACCCTGAGGGTCTTGGCGGGCCCTTAGGAACGGCTCAGGACTGCGAGGGAGCTGCGTGCCTGCCGCTCCAGGCAGCGACGGGCCAGGCGAGCGGAGGCGGCCTCCAGAGGCCGTGAGAGGGCAGGGCAATGCGCAGCTCTCGCCAGCATCGCCCCTGCCGCAAGAGGAGCGGGACGCGTGCCCCAGAGCCCCGGGCGCACGGGGTGGCCGAGATGGCCGTCGGCAGCACGATGCAGGCCGGCAGGCCCGTGCCTGTGTCACCACAGCCGGAGCCCTGGCAAGGCGCCCCCGCTGGGGCGCCGCTCGGCTCCGCTCACCTGTCGCTGTCCCCACGGCCCTTGGCAGTGAGCCTCTCCCTCTCCTTCGGCGGTGCAGGGTCCTCTAGGAAGCTGCGGTCCAGACTGTCTTCGGGGACAAAGTCCTCCACGCTCTGCACTTTCGAAGGCAGGGCGGAGGGAGCAGTGATGCCAGCATCTGAGAGGAGGGGAGAGGAGAGCAGCGCGTCAGCCGGAGTAACCTCCCAGCGCCCGTCCTTCCCCCCCAGCACGTGCCTCACGCAGAGCCCACTCACTGTGTCGCCCGGTTTAACGCAGCCCTCGTGGAAGAGATGCGGAGGCCTCCAACGCACTCGACACACAAGGGCCGCCTCCCCCTTGCTTTCAGGAGACAAAGCCACTTTGCTGCTGAAGTCTGGCAGTGCAGCAAGGCAGAAGGGCCACTTTAAAGAGACATTCTGCACCCAAAGGGCAGAACTTGGCAGGCGTTCCACGAAATCAACGAACGAGCAAGGACCCAGCGGAGACCTGAGGAGCAAGCACGCTCACCTGGCAGGGGTGGGGGAGCCTCCGGGGCCGGCGACGTCCCAAAGAGCCGAGAGATGATGCTCCGCTTCTGGGTCGGAGGGGCTGCGGCGGCGGGGCTGACGGCTGCCGAGGGCTCGGGCAGGGGCGCGGGAGGCTGAGGCAGGAGGGACTCTGGGGGAGCGGCTGGGTGGCCGGCGCTTTGCTGGGGCAAGGGAGGCGGTGGCTGGGGGGTGCCAGGACTGGAACTTCCGGAGGTGTTGCCCGGAGGGACCACGGGCGACTGGGAGCCTGAGGAGGGGCTCTGCCCATTGGCGGCAAGCGGGGACGTGGCCGGGCCGCGACTGCGGGCCTCCATCATCTCCAAGAAGCTGTTGGAGCAGGCAGAGAGAGAGACGCAAGCAGCATGAGGGACTGGCCCCCGCGACCCTTCTGCACCAGCGCTGCAATCTGCCGCTCCCACTAGCCTTTGCCACGAAGCCCATCAGCCATTTCACTGGCCTGCCAACTTGGCTGTGTCCATATTGGCCACTTATACCAAGGCTGTGGGGAGGACAGCCTGCATAACGCCCCCCGATGCATCACTGGGAAGCCCATTCCCCGGGGAGATGCGGGGCTCTCCCACCCTGGCGGCATTCGAGATGGAGCTGGCCTGCCATCTGTCAGGGAGGCCTCTCCCTGGAGTCCTGCTCTGAGCCGGGCACGGGGCTCGATGGCCTTCCACCCCTTCCAGCTCTACTTGGCAAGGACTCCATGAAGCCCGTGCGGAAGAAGAGAGTCTGCAGCGCTTGGAGAAGGCACGGACAGCTTCCGGTACGAGCTGCAAGCACCGGGCTCTCATCGCCACCTCCTGGGCAACCTGAAGGCAGGGGTCCCAGCCCCCGGTCCTGCCCATGGGCTTCCCATGGGCACGTGCACTTGGCCACCAGGGAGGCCGCCGTGGGAGCAGAGGGCGGAACCCGAGAGGCCTCGGGTGTCATCCGGCACAGCCCCCCTTCTGTCAACACTTCAGGTGGGGTGCTCGGGTCGGATCCGCCCTGCAGAACAAGGATGGCCAGTCGTTACCTTCCTGGCAGTGCTGGGATTACTCGTCTGAGAGGCAGCATCCAAGTGGGGACAGGCCACGCACTGGCGCAGGGCATCTCTGCCCTACACTGCAGGGCTGCTGGCTGAGAGCGCCCGCCCGCCCGCCCGCCCGGGAGGCACTCCTTGCTCGGGGTGCACTGCCACCTCCCCAGCAGTGAACTTGGCGCAAACAGAAGCTGGGCAGAGTTTGGAACTGAAGGGAAGACTCCTGCTCAGGGGAAGGCAGAGGTCTGCAGAGCCCCTCCCCACACCTAAATCCAGGCTCCAGAAGGGCCCATTGAGGGCAGAATGTGTCCAGCACTTGCCACAAGCTCCGTGGCGCTGAGCATCAGTTGGGGTGGGGCTGGAAGGGGAGAACTGAGGCAGGGAAGCGAAGGGAGCGTGCCGGTCTCTTCGCGCCTCGGATGCCCTTCTGTGTGCTGGCCAGACCAACCCACCAGCAGCATCGCTGGCCAAGGGCGGCCGGCATCAATAGCCGACCAGCCAACTCCCTGAAGACACGCACCCCTGCCAGAGGGTGCAGCCCTGGAGCACGGCTCTCTCCAAACTGCAATCCCAGGGATTCCTGGGGGGTGCGGCAGGGAGCCGTTTAGCGTATCAAGACACACTGTGGTGAAAGCTGGCAGTGCAAATTTGGCACCGGCGGGGCAGCCACCAGAAGGCCTCCTGGGGCGCAGCACACGGATGGCCTCGCCGGGGGCACCCGACAGACGTACATTTCGTAGTTCTGGTCTTCGGTCTCTTGCTGCACCGAGAGCTCCTCCAGCGTTGCGTCGATGTCGAGCTGGTTCGTCTCCAGCTGCCGCAGCAGCGTCTCTCTCTGCAAGAGAGGGAGGGAGGCGTGGGTGAGAGCGGCTTCGAGCAGGGCGGGCCGCAGCGTAACTGATCCTCGCGGTGGCTGCCCAGAGGCCGTCGGATCCGGTGTCGGCACCGAGCATCAGCCAGCGAGGCCGAGGGCCATGAATTAACCAGCCGCCCTGGCTAAGGAGAAGGGAGTTGCGAGACACTGAGAAGCGCAGCCGCCCGCAGGGCCGTCTCCCGGGGGGGGGGGCACCTTAATGCAGGGGCACAGGGACTTGTTGAGAAACTCAGTTTGAAAAAAGGATGGGGGGGAGTCGGAAAATATTTAATTCAAAACCCCCCATTTTACCACGTTACTGGAAACTATCCCTGGAAATCTTCTGGAAGGCAACCAGGGGGATCCTTCGGAAAGCCCTGCTCTGGAGAGGATGGGAAGCCAAACCCGCAGCTTCACGGGGACCGCCCTTCCACTCAGACGATGCGTCCCCCGCAATGGAACGCCCGGGCCACAAGCCGTCAAGGCGTGGCGAGGGGTCTGTGGGTGGAGCGGGTGGTGCTGGACGAGCACGTCTGCCCCCGAGTGCCTGCCCCCGATTCAGCCCCCGTCTCCGCTTCCCGGCAGAAGTGACGCACCGGGACTGAGCCTGGTTGGGTTTCACCAACTTGAGCGAGTCCTTTTCAACACGCAGAAACCGATCGGAAAGGTCGGTTGCTAAGTGCTTTTCCACAAGGGCTGCTTGGTCAGCCTCGAGGTGCGTTTCAGCCTCTATTTTTGCAATGAAACATGCATGAGAGACGCACACCAGACCGTGTAACTCGAAGCTGATCAAAACTGCCTCCAAGGGCCCTAGCGATGCCGGCGTGCGAGTGCGAATGCCGCTCTTACAGGCACCTTCATAATCGCCAGACTGCAGGCGAAGGCGCCCCACTCCTCCCGCCAGGTGAGCACGCAGGTCTTACCTGCAGCTGCAAGAAAGGGATGTTGAAGAACTTGTGCAGGTATTTGAGGCCAAAGCTGTTCTTCATAGACGACTCGGCGTAGCGGAAGTATGAGGAGCCAGGAGGCCTGCCAAGAAACCAGACGGGAGAAGAAAGTGGCCTGTGAGGAAGGAGCACGCGGGAGGAGACGGGGCCCTGACAGCAGGGGAGGGTGCTCACTCATCCGGCGGGCCGGCCCCCGCCCAGGCCGCCTCCAGCCTGGGGGCCGTGATGCCCACGCAGCGCTTCCGAGGAGAACATGAACACACACAATAGTTGGTGCCACTTCCAGGCTCTCCCTGGAAGCCGCTCAGAGGGGGCCGCAACTGGCTGGCCAGAGCAAAGCGCCGAGGCAGTGGCCCGAGCGCCTGTGCACGGTTTCTGAATGGCTTCCATTCTGCTCCTCCACCCCTCGAGCCAAGCAACGCACTCGGCAGCCTCCCCCAACCTGGTGCCTGCCAAAATTGCTGGACCAGAAGCCCCCGTGGGCCCCTCATCTCGGTGCCTGAGCTGAAGGGTTCTTCCCAGGACTTCTGCTGGAAAAGAAGGAATGTGGGGCGTTTGTCTGCAGAATCAGCTGCCTGGCGGGCTGTTCCGAGGGGATGATTCTGCTAGGAATGGAGCTGCACGGCCTCTTCTGGGAGGACTGTAGGTCAAGCAAGGGGGCAGATTCAGAACCATTCTGAGGGGGACCTTCTGGTTTGGATTAACCTGTTACTAGATTAAACTCCTATTAAACTCTTATGGGATTAAACATGGGCAGATGCTACTCTCACTTCCCAAAGTGCTTGCTACTTTGAGTTAGGCTGTTTGTAACCCAAGGAAAGTGGCCAGCAGCCTCGACAAGCGCAAGGAACAGGCTGCGTACTGAAGGCTTTCCAGGTCTGCTGGACAGAGAAAATGGGGGAGAGATGAGCGCCCGGCATCCACCAAGAGCGCTCCCGAGGCCCGGTGGCCGGAACGCCGCCCCCTTCCACGCCCAGGTGGTTCCTCTCACCGGTTCAGGTTGTCGATGAACTCCCGCACGTCATCCGGCAGGATCACCCGGTGCTCACCCATGTCCCGGTAGTTCCCCAGCACACACACAGGAACATGGTTCGGTACTTTCGGAAGTTCTCTCAGGATATAGTTAAAGGTCCTGAACAGAACAGAACAGAACAGAGGCCGCAAGGCATGGTCAGAGCCACCCAAGGTTAGCCAGGCCCTCCTCACCTACCTCCCCTCCGGAGGGAGGGCAGCTCCCGGAGCCCCCCGCCAGCTGGGACACCGCGGGGCAGTGGCTGCACTCCTGCGGAGCCAAGGGACCCCCTGCCGCCCAGCGGGAGTCTTCTGGGCTGCGTCTTCGGAGAACACTGCAAAACCTTCCCGTCCACTCAAGTGGGAACGTGACAGCGGGCAGCAACACGGGCCAGGGCAGGTGCTCTTCGTGGCCTCTCCAGATCCATTTTCCTCAAAACTATTGCCCACAAAAGAAACCCTGGTCTACCATAAGAATCGGGCCAGTAATTTAATTCTTGCCCATCTTTAAGGTCAAGCTGGCCACAGGATCGCCTTTGGACAGCGCGGGCTCCCAGCCTCAGAAACAGAGATGAGCACCGCCCCCCATCAGCCACTGGCTGCGGGGAGCAAAACCTGCAGGACTTCTTTACCTTCACCTGTGACATCTTTAAGAATTCAGCTCTCCCTTTCTCTCACCAAAACACTTTTGGATTTGGGTCTCGATGTTCTCGTAGCTCTTTGGGAAGGGATTAAACTCTCGAGCGCAAGCCCATGAGGCATCCTAGAAAGTCTGCGGGGCTCTCTCAGAAACTGCACAATGTACACGCCTCAGAAAAGCTTCCACGGGAGGCAAAATTGAACTTTTCTCGGTGTTAGATACCCTTTCTGAACTACGGACTGAATACACAGCTTGCTTCCCCCCCCTCCCCCGTCCCCTTTTAAAAATCAAGTCGTGATACAAAGAGTAAGTACGGCTTCTCCTCCTACCACTGCTTGGTGATATCGAACATCATCACGACGCCATTGCAGTTCTTATACACATCCAGGAACTCTGCATCCAGAGCCATCTCCGACTCCGCCTGAGAATGGGAAAAGAGCAAGTCTAAAACGGGGCTTGTGGCGGCGGCGGCGGCTTCCCTGCTTCAGCAAGCACCCGACAAGCTTGAGCAATGTTTCCTGAGTAACTGCACACGCTACTCCCAATTTGCAAGTTTCGGGCAGACGGGTGTTTTGCCTCCCCTACCGCAACATGTTTGCTATTCCGTTTAACCGTGCAGAGTTTGGCACACTGCAGAAAGAAGGTTCTGGGCATGCTCTTCTCAAAAGATGAGAAATGGCATACAAACTCTGGACCCGACTGCCTGCTGAGCCCCTTCCAACCGTATGATCCCCTGCTTCTATGAAGCCAGGCTGGACAGGTCCACCCTCAGCGAACGCATCAGGCACAAGCCTGAGACACGAGCAAGTAAAGCTGTGGCTCCCCGAATTCACGCGCTGCGCTCACACCGACATCCTGGACACAAAGGTCCGTTCTGGCTTTTGGCTGCAGCCCTAAGCAGGAGTCCTGCTACGCAGGGGATCTGCCAGTCTCGCGCCAGGCAGCACATCGTGAGAGGGAGCGAGACGTTTGAACCGCTCCCGATGGGACGGGACTCTGCAGCAGTGATGGACGAGTGCCTCACCTCCTGAGGGTCATTCTCCAGTTTCAAGCCATCCCCTCGTTTCTTGCATTTTCCTAGTGAAAGAACAAGAGAGAGGCAGGCAGAGAACACGTCAGAGGAGAGACCAGGGCGGAACGCCTGAGGGGGTGCACCAGGCAGCGCTCCTTTCCCAGGCTTGTGGGCCACATTTTCCCCCGTGCGATGCAAGCGAATACCGGGAAGCTCAGGCGTGACCGGCAGAAGGGCAAGGAACTCAACCGGGTGGCATTTCAGCACAGCCAGCGGCACCGCAGCTCCTCGAAACGAACTGCAGGCATCTGCCTGGAAGGGGGGGGGTTCCAAAACTGGGGGCAGTGGCTGCGGGAGGTGCATGGCGCTTGAAACTGGCTGCCCCAGACAGCAGGAAAGCTACAGGACAATGGCCATCTGGTTTGGTATGGGCCTGCCTCTGCACACGGCAGCGGGAGCGATATTTCTGGCGCGGAAACTCGGGGCTTGATTTGCAGAGAGAACTTCAGCACCTGAAGGCCAGTTTGCCTCAGGTGGCGCAGCAATAACATTGCAAAGACTGCGGAAGCCACGTGTGCCTCTTAGCCCCCACATTCTCCCCCAAAGGCACTGTCAGACTGTGCCGCTCGGACGCTGGGAACACCTTCCCCAACAGCACCGCAGTGGGATCCTGTCCAAGCAGGTTCAATGACTCCCGGTCCTGCAAAAGCCACGGGCTGCTTCACGAGCTGGCGCAGAGAGCGTGTGTGTCTGTGTGTGTGTTGACTGAGCTATGCGTGCCCGGCCTGCTGAAGGTGCAGCATCAGCACCCAAAGAAACAAGGGGTCGGCATCAGTATTTTCCGGGGCAGAGAGAGCACTGAAGCCCCCCCAGATCAGCACCATTTGATCCTACATGCGTCACCCCGTCCCTGCAAGCAATTTCAAGTTCCACCTCACAGAGCACAGCAAGCTGAGCTAAACTACAAAAATGCACACGAGAGGAAAGAGGGGCAGAGGAAGCAAGCACCCAGGGCTTCTCCGCACCCTTCCACGGGCTCAAGAGCCCTTTGCTACAGAGGAGCCACGATCTAAGCTACAGTCTCACCCAAGGAGTCACGGAGGTGGATTTTTTGACCTGAACACATTGGGATGCGGCAAAGAGAAAAAGACAGGCAAATCATGAAATGGGAAATATTTTAAACAGTAACAGCTGGATTAAAAAAAAACCTTATGTCTCTCTCTTTTGGAATTAAACATATAAGACATCTTCACTTAAGGCATTTTCCCCCTTTATTAAAAAAAAATAGAACGGTATTCACTCTTTAAAAAGCTTCAGGTGAGAAAGAGTACAGATTATCTAGCCTACCAGAAGCCCGCATCATGGAGCTTGAGCATACATCCCAACTAAGGATGCAAGACCAGAGCAGCAACTCATACAGAGAAGCATCTGCCCAGGGCAGGAAACTCTGCATCGCTCTACCAGATGCAGCTCGAATGCGGGGGAACAATGGAGTTACAAGTCCCCAGGAGGGGCCACCTGGAAAGAGCCAAGCTAGAGCACTGACTCCACTCGCAGACGTAGAAGAGACCCTTCTCTATAGAGGCAGGATGTGTTTATTCATTTCTCGTCATGTGCAGTTTCAGAAATACTATGCCGATCCTTCTAGCACACTTTCCAGCAACAGAGAAAGGTGAACTACACACACCCGTGTCTATTTCTCCGCGAAGACCAAGAATGACTGCACTATCAGGCACAGAGGAGAGCGGCTTACCTTTGTCTACGACATCCCAGACTTCAACTTTCACAATGTCATCTGTGGCTAGAAGGGGGAGCAAGCACACACGGTGTTCAGGGAAGGAAGCCTGCCCAGAGGCTTGCAGGCCAAGGCGACCAGAGCCGCCTCCAGCCCGCCTGCCATCCCTCAGGCGGCTCACTGCATTTCAGTAATAAAATGCATTAATCAATAGAGCAGGAGGAGGCTGCAGGAATGGGCAAGCTGCTTTTTTCAAGCCCCCCCCCCACAACCTCCAGTGGAACTCACTTTTATAATTCCAGTGGATGCTGGTGACTTGGATCTCCTGAGTCGGAATGTACTCCTCAACAAACTTCTTCCCTTGGAGCCGATGCCACAGAGTGGTCTTGCCAGTGTTTCTGTCCCCTCGGATGACAATTTTCACTAGGCAACAGGAAAGAACAAAATTGCGTGAGGGACGGAGGGGCGAGCATCCCCCACAAGCAGAGAATCTACCTTTGCAGGGTCTGTTCTCTTAGGACACCCTGTTAAGAGAAGGCAAGAAGTATTCAAAGCAATATACGACCCGTAGGAAACAGCGCGTTTTAGTACATGTTTTACTGGAGTCTGATGTGATGATTTTTAAATGGCACTTTTTGCTTCACGTGCTTCAGAGCAGTGGCATGTGCAGAGCAAATCAACACAGAAGGCCAAGTCATATTTGGACCATACCAAGGGACTGGACACGACCCCCTTCACGCTGCTGGAGGAATTATCTCACAATCGTCTTCCCCAACTTCATTCTCGCCTGCTGCTTGGGGTGCCAACTCCTAGCTAGCATGACCAATGGTGGGAGTTATAGACCCAAACATCTGGAGAACACCAGGCTGATCTTGGTCTTCACCTTCTGGAAAGTTACTTCTGTTACAGCGGGGATAAGGAACTGGTTATAGACCGTTGGGCGTAGACAGTCTATAGCATAAGGTACTTCCCACATACTCCAGTCGCAGGAACAACGCCGAATCAGATCGAGGGCCCTCCCTGTCCAGCGTTCTATTGACACAGCAGCCAACCAGTAGGAAGCCAGCAAGCAGGAGCGCAAATGCACCCTCCTGCCTTGGTGGCAGACGCAGGCAGGCACGTTGAGGAATCAGGCCTAGAAGCCATCGATAACCTTTCTTCTCCGTGAATACGCCCAGTTCCCTTTTAAAAGCCATGCAAACTGGTGGATGTGAATGCCTTAGTTTATGGGAAGGAAGTCCTGAATCTCCCACCTAGCAGTTTCATGGGATGATCCCACTGGGAGATGCCATTATAAGAAAGAGAACAGTCTCCTTCTCCACTTTTTCCACACCACACACAATTCCACACACCTCTAACATCTACCTTTACTTGCCCTTTTTAAACCAAATGATGCCAGCTGTTACGACCATTTCTCATAGGGAGCGGCTCCAGCCTTTTGCTCATTTTAGCTGCTTTCCCCCCACTTCTTACAACCCCAGAAAATTATTTCTACGCTTGGCAACCAGAGTCATACACATTCTTCTAAGGCTTGTATCAGGGAAGCAAGATCTTGGCAATTTTATTTTCCATTCCTTTCTTAATTATACCAAAGAAGCCTTTTCACAACACTAAGTACTGGCCTGGCACTCTCATGAAGCTGTCCACCAAAACTCCAAGCTCTTTTTCTTGGCCAAGCAGTTCTAGCTCTCATCCCAACACCTTATACCTGAAGTTGGGCTCTTTCGCCCCAGCAAACATTACTTTACAATTGAATCCTTTTCAGTCCCAATATAAAGGGTCCCAATCATGCAAGCAGCCAATTGAAAACGGTTATCTAATACAAGATCACTTAGGTGGGTCCTGACAGACAGCATCTACATTAAGAAAATAAAACAGGTATTTGCCACGATGGAGTCAGGCGTTGATTTAAGCCACTTCCCTGCTCTGTGCACTGTCTGTACGTCCAGAATATCAAGCGCCATCTTAAAAGAGGCGCTCTGCCTGTTCTCTCGCGAAGTGAATTTGTTACGTACCAAGAAGTTGTCTCCGACTTATGGCGACCCTGCAAGCGAACGCCCTCCAAAATGCCCTGCCCGACAGCTCTGTTTCGTTGCCTCCAAGGGCGGGTTTTGTTTTGTGCATTTTCTTAGGAATGCTTTTGCTGTTCCATCAACTATTTTTAACAGCAGCTTTTCATTCTTGAATTGGCAAGCAGCTTTCCTATCTCCATAGTAACCCTCACTGCTGTGACTCCACTGTTTCCAAAGGATAAAAGTGCAGAGGGGTTTTTTTGAGGGGCGTGAAAGCTGGACAGTGAAGAAAGCTGAGGAGAATAGAGGTGTTCAAAACATGGTGCTGGAGGAGAACTTTGCAAATGCCCTGGACTGACAGAAAGACAAACACGTGGACGAAATCAAGCTTGAGCTTTGCTTAGAAGCAAAAATGACACAACTCAGGCTGTCATACTTTGGACACATCATGAAGAGGCAAGACTCTCTGGAGAAGGCAGAAAACAAAAGGGAAGATCCAGCAGGAGATGTTTTGGATCCATAAAGGAAACCACACTTAGAAGAGCGAAGTGTGGACGGGACATCTTGGAAGGTTTGTTTTCACGGGGCCACGTAAGTCAGAAATTGCTTGCTGGCACGGAACAAGATCTCTGGAGGGAGAGGTGCCGCAGCCAGGGCATGCCAACAATACCGGGCGCAGGAAACCAAATGGGATCTGACTCAGCCTCTGCTGCAGCCAAGCCTCCTTCCCACCCGTTTCTTGTATCTATAGCCTACTTTTCCGCCTAGGAATCAGCACACAATTTCCCCCCACTCTTCCCCTCGCAACGAGCCTGAAAGGGAGACTTGGGCGAGGAAGGGAAGCGAGCCAAGGACGAGGTCGGCCGGCGCGCTTCGCAGCCCACGGGGATCCGCGGCTGCCGCCCGCCAGCCTGGCACCGCTCCGCACGGGCTCCCACTCCCACGACCCCCCAGCACCGAACTCGCGCACGCGAAAGCCTCGCGAAACCTCGGGGCGCTGCCTTCGCCCGAGCGAGGCCCCCGGCGCGCCAGGCCGGCGGGCGGCGGCGGGCGGCAGCCTCCCAGCACGCGGCAGCTGCTCCTTCCGTGCTCCCCCGGGGGCACGGCTTCAACCCCCCGCCCCCGTCCCATGCCCCGCAGCGGCCCGAAGCCCCCAGCCGGCAGCGCCCCCGGGCCCGCGGACGGACGCCCCGCCTCGCCACTCACTGTTATACTGCACGCCTTTGGCGAAGCGCCTCTGCAGCGCCTGGTTCATGGACTGCAGCCCCGCCGGGATGGGCTTGTCCCGGCCCGGGGCCTGGTCCGAGCCCACCAACTTCTTCAGGGCCGAAAACATCCTGGCTGGGCAGCGGAGAGGGCCGCGGCTGCGTCCGGCTCGGCCTCGCTCCGACGGGCCCGCGGGCAAGGCCAGTTACATCGCCGCCCGCGGCCGCGGAGGGGAGGCCGCCCGCGCGGCGCCCGACGCCGAGCCCAGCTCCGCCGCGCCCGCCCGGGCCAGCGCCGCCGCCATCTTGGCTCGGCCTCTTTCCCTCTCCAGGCAACCGGGCGGGAGGGGCAGGCCGAAGCGGAGCGAGCCGGCTACGGCAGCGCGCGAGGGACACTCCCGGGGCCGCGCGGCGCCATTGCGGCCCAGGGAGGCGGGGCGGCCACGTGGGAGGCCGCGTCAGCGCCGCCTACGGGGGAGGGCGAGGGACAGCCCAGGAAGGAGGCGAAGCCACGTCCGCACGCGGTTCCTCGCTCTCCCCGCCGCCGCACCGGCTGGGCGCAGCCTACGGAAGCGGGCGCGGGAGGCTTTGTCGGTCTGGCCAGAGGAATGAAACGCAAACATCCATGAGCCGCAAGGGACGGAACCGCGGGAAGCGCCTCCGCACAGTCACACTTGCTACGGTGCTAGGCGCTCAGCGGAGCGCGCCGGACGGCCAGGCAGATGGGACACGTGCCAGAGACCAGCGGGCCTCCGCCGGGGCGCTTGGGCTCCGTTGCTAAGCAACCGGGAAGTGGGCGGGGCACGGGTACGGCGTTGCGCGAGGGACACAAACAGTGAGCGCTTTCTCGCGCGCTTTCTGTCCCAGCGCCCGTCCGCGTCCAAGCAGGTGGGACTCCCGGCTGGATGTGCGACGCGCTTCCCTTGGGTTGCCCCATACATCCAGCTCAGCTCAAGGCGCTGGGAGTATTCCGCGAAAAGGGAAGGCACTCTGGGCATGCTCAGAGGCACTCGGTTTTTGCAAGAACAGAGGCGTCAAACAGAAGGACTCCAGGCGCGATCCTATGCATATGTGGGCAGTAGAAAAAATCCTACAACGTGCTCGGAGTTGTACGATTTTTGCCGGGGCTGCAGGACCTTTCTCTGTCTAAGCATGCATAGAATTGCGCCCCACGTGAATTTCATGGCCCTGTAGAGATTTGATCCAAGGGATGCTAGAGGGCAACACGATCACCACCACAACACGATCACCACAACACCGACTCTTCCTCCCTCTCTGCATTTGTATTCCAATAAATACTTTCGCCTGTCTCCCACATTCACTTAAAAATGTGACCTTTCAAAAAGCAAGTATGGATTTTTTTGGTCTTTGTTCATACTTGTTTACAGGTGAAGTATTGACCACTCCAGTACTGCTGGGAAGGGCCGAATTTTCTGAATATTCAGTGACTGGAAGAGGAAGAAACGAGGGGCCAGAGCGACGGATGGTCACCAGGAACAAGGGTCTTGCCGGCTTCCGTGTGCCCCCTGCAGCCACGGCCTCGCCCAGGCCCCCCTCGCCCCGCGGCTGATCCCACAGGCTAACCCATCCCGGCACGAGGCGATGGTCCTGGGTGCCCAGTCAGGTCATCTTGCCCAAGCAGCCCCTGAAGGGCCCGCCACTTCTGGACCTTGCCTCGGGGAGAGGCACGAGGTCGGGCAGGCGCCCTGGGGTGCCCCTTCGCCCAGGGGTGGGCACAGTCCTTTCCTCCCACCGTGGCAACTTTAGTCAATGCGGACCGAGCCCTTGAAAGCTTCCACCGCTTGGAGGCCATGCAGAAGAGGCAGCTTTGGCCCTGCTGCTGGGAGCGGGAGGCCTTTTTCTCTGTCTGATCCTCTTTGGCCTCCAGCCACACAAAATTAGATGGTAGGTAGTAGGGAACACGGGTGCAGATGGGAGGGGTTCTACAAGGGCATAAATACCCATTTCTGTTCCAAAATGGTCAGAAGTGCCCCACCAGCATCTTTGAATGCGGGACCAGCGGCTTGCACTCTCTAGGAGATGCTCGCGCAATTTTTGAGCTTGCAAGTTCATTTGGAATATCTGAATTTTCACACACTCATCCGTGGGGAAACCGTGTGCACTGCTCCCGTATGGGTGGGCGGCAGGGACACTTGTGTGTTTGAAGTGAGAACCACAAGAAACGAGCTTGTCCATCCTCAATTACATTCACATCCTTTAAGAAAAATACATCTGTCAAATGTGGAGCAGCTCCTGGGAGAGAAGCGAAAATGAAGAGGGGGGAAAGCACATACTTTTCCAAAAAGAGGGGGGGTACTTGAGGTAGGATCTGTAGGGGAGCATCATTTCTTGGAGGATCCCCTCTGCTTTTTCTTAGTGACTTTTGTCTTGTCTTCGATGAGTTTCAAGCCCTGCTTCTTGATCTCCTCCCGGTTGGGCACGTAGCTGTGGTCGATGTCGGCAAAGTTAAATACCTCTGCAGAAAAGAAGGACCGTTTATAAAGGAAAGAAGCAGGAAAAAACACGAAAGAAAAAAATGGAAGGAAAGCAAAACTTAAGGTGGCTAAGAACAAGAGTAAACGTACATTTGCAATCTGAGAACAGCAAGAATCAAAATGTCTTAAACGAAACTGAGGCGCACGGATTGTAAAATGCCTAAAGCCGTTTTCTGCGGAGATGCGGACAGTTCCTAAAACAGCTGAGGCAAAGCACACTCAACAGCCCGTCAAAGCCTGGGCAAACCGGGCTGTCCATAGGCAGTCAAGCCACCAACAGGAGAAGGCAGCCCTTCAGATATCTGGGGGCGAAGTCATCCCGGTCAGTTATAATTTTTAACTCCGCTCCTGCAGCGACATGATGCTTCACAGCACTCCCCAGGCCCGCCCCGCCGAGACCACTGCTTCAAGACTGCTTCACAGCTGAAAGACTGACGGAAAAGGGAGAGCAGGATGCGAACAACACACTCCGTTGGACAGGAAGATACCTCAAACTTGCAAGGAAAGGCTTGGAAGCGTCAGGACTAAATGAGTCATTAATAATGTGGCCCAGAAAGCTGAAAACTGAGGACGGTTTGACTGTGAAGATCTGATCAGGAAACTAGGTTGTCAGTTCCTCCACATCACCTGCTCCCATGGATGTTTGTGAACTGGGGGTGTTGAGAGTCGAGCCCCCGGCCTCCCCCACACCAAGCGGCTGCAGTTTCTGTTGGCAGATACACACCTCTGACATCGTCGTCGTCTTCTTCAAATGTGACCCTCAAGTTTTGGGGTTCCTCTCTGGTACTTTCCTCTAGGAAATTCCTGACATGTATAAAAGTCTGCACAGATTAGAGAGGTTAGAATTAGACTGTGCCGGTCATGAGACGGCCGTCTGGGTGGGGGTGGATTGAGAAGATGCACACACGACTGACACCTCGTGCGCAAAAACCCGCCGTTCCCTTTTAGTGGGAACAAACGGACAAAGGCTTTCCCTCCGGCCTGTTTGCGAGAGCTGCTGGTTGCCGGCATGCAGACAGGCCTGAGGAAGATGAGGCTGGGCGATGGCGCCCGCAAAGGGGGCAGCTGAGAAATGCTTCAGAGCCGTCTGGAGCCCCCTTGGGCTCCCCAACGGCTCCCCGAGCAGGGATCGGAGATGGCGCTGTGGGCGCGCTCGAGCAAATCCTGCTCCGTTCGGCCCCCGGGAAAGGGGGCGTGCGCATACCTCATTGCTCTCTTCTTGGCTGAAGTCGTAGGAGGGCAGCTTCTCCATTGCTTTGGTCAGGTGCAGCAGTTTGGTTTCGCAGAACTGCAGCTTGTCAAACATATCCCCGGCTTCCAGGGAGGAGTCCTCCTACGGCAAGGCAGACGGAGAGGGTGGGTCCAGGCGAAGCCCCCCTCATAAGGTTCCCCTCGGGCAGCCCCAGGGGAGGGGAGGGGAGGGGAGGGGAGGGGCGCCACGAGTACCTGGCCCAGGACGCTGATGCCACACAGCCTCAGCATGAGGTTGTTGACCCCATTTTCAAAATGCAGGAGAAGCTCCTGGTTCTTGAACACCTGGGCCTGCACCTGAGTCAGCCGCGTCTGCTCCTCTTCCAGAGCTTTCCGCAGCTCCTCCTCTAACTTCCTAGAACTGGGGGGGGGGTCAGAAGGAGGCGCTAAACAGGTGCGCTGAGAAGCGGCTGGGGTGGCGCTGCGAAAGCCAGCCTGAAGCGGCTGGCCGGGCGGGCACCAGCGGGTACCTGAGGGCGCTGGGGGTCTGGTGGAACTTCAGCTCGGCCCGCTGCAGCTCCAGCTCCCTCAGCTGGGCCTGGAGCTCCCGGCGCTTCTTCTCCGACTCCGCGATCTGCTGCTGCAGGTTCTCCTCGGACGCCTTCTGGGCCATGAACCTCCCGGCGATGTCCTGAGGGGGGAAGGCGAGGGAGGGAGGCGGGCGGGCAGGGCTGCCTGTGCACAGCGCGCTTCGCTGTGGCCCGCGACCCTCCCGTGGCGGCCCTGCCCCGAAGCCCCCGGGCCGCCCGCTGGGCTGAGGCACGGCGGCCCGTCCCCCCGAGGGCTGCCCTCCGCTGGAGTGCCTCGGCTCGCCCGCCATGGCCTCGCTCACTGTGCCGCGGGACGCGGGGGCGGCCCGGCTCCTCCTGCAGTCTGACTCTCGGGGGGCATCTAGCAGAGTGGGGGCTCCCGCTGTCCCCGCGAGCTGCTCCCACTGCTTTGGCGCAGGCCACTCCTCTGCCCCCAGACGGCCTTGCCCTGAATGCCCCCCCCCCAGCGTTGTGCGCCAGGGTGCAAGTCGGCGCTGCCAAGGCGCACGGAAGCACCCGCGCTGGCGCCCGAGGGAGCGCTCCGGTGCCCGTCTGTCCCCAGGCAGCCGCACCGCTCGGCCCCCGCTTGGCTTCCCGCACACCCCGGGACCGGGAGGCTGGAGTGGGGGGACCCGGCAGGCCACGCCCCGAGGGGCACAGAGCTACAATACCCAGAGGTGCGAGCACTGGACGGCGCACTTGATCTTGTCCACCTCGGTGGTCACGAGGCTCTGGTACTCGATCTGGGCCTTGGAGGCTTCCAGCTTTGCGCCTGGCAGAGGTGGGGAAGCAACAGCGGCCAGGAGGGCCTGTGACTCAGTCGCTACGACCGATCCCAGGGGCCCAGCCCTTCCGCCAGGCTGCCCGGACGGCCCTGCCTCACCACTCCACCTCCGAGCCGCTGCTCCCGCACCTGCCTCAGCCCCCGCTTTGGGGGGGGGGGGAAGGAGCAGTGGGGGTGCGGCCCCTGGGCTCCCTGCCAGGCGAGCAGGCGAGGCAAAGGAGCCGCCGCAGCGGGGCAGCCGGTGCTCGGCCGGCGGGAAGGGGCCACCCAGCGGGCCCTGCGCAGCCCGGCCCTGGGGCTGCAGTGGGGCCGGGCCGCCTCCTCACCTCGAGTCCCTTCGCGGGCAATGAGGTTGGGGAACTCCATGTTCATGTCTCTCCGGGCTTGCTGAGAAGAGAGGGGGCGCAGGAATCACCCGGGGCCCTCGCCTCATCATCGCCCCGCCTCCCCAGGGGCCGGCGGGCGAGTCCGGAGCAGCTGGGCAGGGGTGCCGCCGGGGCAGAGGGGGCCAGGCGGGCGGGCAGCCCCCCACCCTGTGCCCTGCCCCTGTGCGGGGCATCCGGAGGGCCGCAGCCCCTGCGCCTGGCGGCTCTGCTGTGGCCTGTCCCTCGCACTCCACTTCCCGTCCTCCGGAGAGCGGCTCACCATCCGGCGGTGCCGCTCACTGGCGTCCTTCGTGCGGATCCGCTCGATCTGCTTCTTCTGAATGCTCAGCGAGTTCTCCCTGAACTTCTTCTCCGCCACCAGCTCGCTCTCGGCATTGGCCATGTCCGCCTGCAACTCCCCGGTGGGGGGGGGCAGGTGAGGCAGAGGCCGGCCCCGCTTCTCCCCGGTGGGGCGAAAGGCTGGACTCTGGCTCCAGGCCAAGGGCCCCCGAGAGCAGCCAGCTGTGGCCCTGTGCAGGGGTTCCCCTTGCAGGAGCGCCCCCCCCGCCTGGCGGAAGCATCTCAGCACAGCGAACGCCAGCCTTCCGTGTGGTTAAGCAAGGAAGCCACTCCCGTTAAATCCATGTGCGTATTCCCAAAATCCTCAGATCCCTTGCAGACTAGAGCAATCCCACACTTGCCCAGTCAGGAGGAGGGTGTGCCGAGTTCAGCAGTGCAAGATCAAGGCAAGGCGAGGCGACAGCCCCAGGCGACGGGCACGGGAGAGTGGCCTCCAGGCCCAATCCCAGGCGCTTTTAGGCAGGGGCAACGCCACCGCTTCCTGGGGGGCTGGGGGGGGCAAGCTGGGAGTTGCCGGCTTTTTCTCGGCCCAGGTTTGCCCCGGGCCACCCCCTCCACTGACCTCAGCTCCCTGTTGTAGGGCAGAGCACCAGCCCCTCACCTTGGCGGCCTCCATTGCCTCGATCGCGTCCACAGCCATCAGGTGCATGCCCTTCAGTTCCACCTGATAGACCCCCACCCTGCTCTCCAGGTCGTCCAAGATGAAAGGGAAGTGCGACAATTCCTACAGGCAGAGAGAGATGTGGAGCTGGGGGGGGGAGTGGGGGCACCTGGTCGAGCCCAGAAGCACCAGCAACCTCCAGGCCCCGGAGGGTTCCCTCCGAAGCCCCCAGTCACCTCTCTCAGCACATCTAACATCTTTGTGTACAGCATGCAGGTCTTCCCCGCAGTTGTGATTTTCACGCGCATCTTCTCAATGCTGTTCTCCAGCTGGCGGATCATCTGTGACCGAGGAGGGGGCAGGAAAGGCAAGGTGTGTGTGCAAAGCAGCCCAAAAGGCACCCCCCCAATATCGGGGTGGCTTTACAAATCCCCTCTTCCCACACCATTCTTTTGCCTTATGTTTTGTGCCTTTTAAGCTTGGGAACAACATCTTTCCTGCTTAATTAATTCTACATAAGCAGCTCTTTGGACTGAGGAGAAGCACAGAAGTACCTCAGATAACTCCAGCCAGAACTGGAGTTATTTGAGGAAATTGCCTTTGCAGTGACCTGCCTTAACTAGGGCTCTAGAAAGAGACTCGAACGCCCGTTTTCCTCTGTGGGGGGTTTCGGGTGAAAATCCAGGTGCTCCCTTAAGCCGGTCCATCGCATGAACCTGTTCTGCTATTTCACCCAAAGAGGCGTTCTCTGGAAAAGTGTGTTCTTAGCTAACTGCAATTTCCCCAGCAAAACCTTGGTGTGAGAATTCTTTCGTTCTCCCTACTGGAATTAAAAAGCTCCACGAGACAAAGAAATCTGCTCTTAACTTGCAGTCACTCTTGGTTAAAATCCATCCCACTTTCTTGAGCCTTCTTGAGCAGGCCCTGTGGGGCGTCCCTGGGGCCCCCCGTCCTCCCCCCCACCCGCCCCCCATCCCCCTTCACCTGCAGCTGCAGCTGGGACTCTGGACTGGCCGTGCCCAGGTCCAGCAGCTGCTGCAGCCGCAGCTGCAGGTCCTCCAGGAGCTTTCCCCGCCGCTTCACTTCGAAGAGCAAGACGTTGTGAGCATTCATCCGGTCGAAGACATGGCTGCTCAGCAGCGCTCGCGCTTCCTGCCACGGGCGGGAGAGGGTCGGTCCGTGTGAGGTTCGTGGCCTGCTGTGGCTGCCCGTTGGGGCTTGCTCTGCTCTGCCAGGCCAAAGCCCGCCAGAGCCCCCTGCCCACCGGCCGGCTGGACCTGGGGCCTTGGCACACACGGGGAGTCCCTGCCCCAGCGTGACCTGTCGGGACGCTGCAGGGCCAGGTGGCCTGGGGGTGTGCCCGGCTGCTCCGGAGAAGCCCGCTTCCCTGGCTGGCCCACCCCTCCGGGCAGGAGGCAGCCGGCCGACCAGGCCAAGGAAGGCTGGCTGCAGTCGGCCGGGGGTGCTGGGGCTGCCGCGGGGCCCCGTGGCCACACTGGCCAGCACGGAGGCTACAGGGGGGGCGCTCCAGGGCCGCAGGGGGGCGCGGGGCAGCCTCGTTACCTCCACGGCGTACTCAGCCAGAGCCACTCGGAGCCGCTTCTTCTCTCGGCAGGCCCTGCTGATCGTGACGTGGTCATACTAGGAAGGGGAGGCAGGGAGAAGCCCCCAGGTGAGGTGGGCGGCTCGTGGGGAGGGCCCTCGCCCCTCCGCCCCCCACCCGGGCCAGCCGGCCACTCCAAGAGGCCTGCCGCCTTGGCCGCAGGGGCCCCCGGGGCTGCTGTGCCCCAGCAGGGGAGGCGCCCGGAGGGGCAGGTCTCCCGCCAGGGTGTGCGCCCCCCGCCAGAGCACGCGAGGCACAGGCGGCCTTGGCAGCGCCACCTCGCGCGGGCAACGTCTCGCCAACCTGGCGCCCACGCCCGCCCTGCGGGAGAGGAGGAGAGCGAAGGCCGAGGGCCCAAGCTCACCCATCCGTTCCCAGGGAGGGCGCCCGAGGAGGAGGGCTGCCGCCCGCAGACGCGCCCTCGCCCCCGGCTGCCCCTCCTCCGTGGCGTGCTCAGGCCCTCTCCAGGGTGCTGAGCCGCCCGGCCGCTGGCCGAGGTGCTGGAGAGGGGCGTGCGGGGGGGCGCCAGGCCACGCGGGCTGCCGTGCTGAGCCCGCCACGGACGGCCACGCGGGTGCTCCGGGAGCCCCAGGGCGGGGCGGCCCTCGGCTTCCCACCAGGCCCCCGCATGCGTCCGGCACAACGCTGCCCGGCACGCCCCTCTTCAAAGCACCCTCGATGTGCTGGACCACCATTCCCATTGTCCTCGGCCTGAAGACCCCTTGGGTGGAGGGAGCCACAGCCAGCACCTCTGCAGACCGACATTCCCCAGGATGGTTCGCAGTGGGGGTCGTGCCTGGCAGAAGGCGGGGGGGGGGGGAGCGGCCTGACCTTGATTGCGAGGTTCAGCTCGTGCATCCCTTCCCAAACATTCCTGCGGAGGAAGCGGGTCAGATCCCTGTTCTTACACACGGTCTCCTGAGTCCCTTGCGCAAAGAGCTTCTTCACTTGCTCTGGAAAGACATGGGGGGGCAGGGGGGAGTCCGTCAGCAGAGCCACCTGGCCAGCTAAGGCAAGGGAAGCCGGTTTCCTCCAGTCTCGTGGCCTTTCCTACGTCCCCAGGGGAGTCAAAGCCCCTCTGCTTCCTCTTTTCTCTCTCCCCACCCCCTGCACGCACCAAGAGCAAGCGTAGCTTTTCTCTTAGGTCCGGAACCCCTCACAAGCCCATTCGGGGCCCTTTTACTGACGAGAGCTTCATGCCACTCGTGATACCTGTGCAGCAGGCTTCTTCTAAGCTCCTAAACGTTATCTAGAAATGCAAGGAGGAGGCTTCTCTCTGCAGAGCCGTGCCTTCTGTTCCCACATATGGCTGGTGAGTCCACCAATTAAAGCCTAGCGCTTGCATTGACTCAGATTTCTTTTAACGAAGGTGCAGGCTTTGTCCACAGACTGGGCAAAACATGCGAAGGCTGAGGAAGGGGAGACGGGAAGCGCCCAGGATGTGGGCGGGGGGAGGGGCCTTCCGGGGAGCAGCAAGCCGGCCTTGCAGGGACTGTGCCTAGTTGGGCTCCGCCGGCTGGGCTTCCGGGGATCCTGCCCTGCCACGGCGTCGCACCCCAACCGAGCTGCACAGAGTGCCGTGCCGGAGGGCCGTCTCCGCATCCGATCCAGCCAGGCCTTCATTCTCTTCATGAAGGCATCAGCCGCAGCCTCCTCCAGGGATCCCTCTGTGTTTCATCCCCCCACTTATGAATCCATCCTCCGATGGCGTTGCCCAGGGCAACCAGCAATCCAGAACTTGCCATAAAACCAAGGGACGCAGCAAGAGGGAACCAGCAAGCAAACCAAAGCTGAAAGCCAGCCTGATTTGCGGGCACTGTCGTGGTGTGGAGTGTGGGGGCAGCGGAACGACACACTGGACCAAAAACCGATGGCGCGGCGGCCAGCGACGTGGCCCTTCTGGGACGAGAGGAGGATGGAGCCGAGCCCCTCTTCAGAAGGGTGCGGAGGCGAGCAGATCTCGTTTGTCCTGCAACTGACTGGGGGAGGACCCTCCCTCAAGGAAGGGTGGAAAGCACCAGCCCAGGGTCACCTTGGAGGTTTATGATTGCCTGCAGTGCATGGATCTGCTGTTTGATGTCCCTTCTCCGCTGGTGCCTCATGGCGGCGGAGCCGAGTCACACCCAGGCAATGCCTTTGGCGAACTGGCGAGCGGGCGTCCTCCGGCCGGGTCACCCGCTTGGGCGGAAGTGCCTGGGGGCAGGCGGCTCCCTCCGGCTCTGTGACCTCAGCGGGGGCATTGTGACACTGCTCGGGTCACTGGGTTCTCGAGGGGGAGCTCCCATCCCTACCCTGTGGGAGCGGAATTCCACTGAGAATGGCTTGTCCGCATGGGGATTCCGAATGCTCCTTCCTGGGGCTGGTCGGGGGACCCACCCACTGCAGCGGCCCCCAGTGGTCCCGAGATCGCTGGTCACCACGTCTTGCGGGATGAATCTCGCTCGCGGCTTTATGAACCGCCTGGACTTCGACAGAGTCTGGGAGTTTGGCTGTCCAAGGGAGGCCAGGCGGCCTGGGGGCTGCCTTTGTCAGTCCCTCCGGCCTTCCACGTGGAGCAGGGGGTTCTGCAGAGAGCGAGGAAGTCTGTTGCCCCCGGCACGTGGGCCTTCCCAAGGCCGCTTGGCGGGGCTTCAGAGGCGGAGAAGAGCATTTCCAGGCACTGAGATTCCCAGGGAATGAGCAGCTTGCCCAGTTCCAGGTATCCATTCAAAACAACCTGTTTGATCTTTGGCTCACAAGGTCTATTTACACTTCAAGGCCCAGGCGAAAGCCTCCCGGGTTTTGCAACTGTGGGCGCTGTTTGCTCTGGTTAATTATTGCCCGGGACAAACATTCAGCAGCCCCCTCAACAGGCTCTCGCTGCAGGTAGGCCAACGGCACCCCTCAACATCCTTGAGCTCCTTGCAGCTGCAGCAGAGGATCCCGTCGCCTCCCAGGAATGGTCCAAGATGGCAAGCGGGGGAATGGTTCCTCAGTCTTTTATGTTGATTTTATTCCCTTTACATCCATACCAGCTGAAGTTCTCTTGGGAGTTCACGAAAAGCACGTTCCACAAATACAAGATCATGAAAACAGAAAATATGCAAAAGTTAGAAACACTTCAAAATGGCTAAAAGTCGTTGTAGCGAGAGACCAGGTGTGAGGAGAACAGCTGGCCTGGACCCCCCTTCCTGGGCCATCTAGTGCCTGGGAGCAGCGGAGAGGCTGAGCCCGGCACCTGAAACGACGACAGACCACGTGGGCACCAGGCAGGCATCTGCAGGAAGGGTGCAGCAGGATCACAGGGGCACCACCGAGGAAGCCCCCCCCCCCCAGCTGCCTCCCTCCAAATCTTCCCCGGACAACGGCCTCGGGCCCTGGAGAACCCACAAGGCTCTGCTCCTTCGCTCTTCATGGCGACTGCACTGCGCTCGAGCTCTCAGTAAAACCCCCTGGGAGGGTCTGCGCCCCGAGAGGCGGCAGAGCAATGCTTGTGCTCAGAATCAACAGAGAAAGGGGTGAAAAGCGGAAAGCGATGGCGGAGCTTCTCCCGGATGAGGCCACTCGCTCCACACAATGAGGCAGGAAGCGAGCGGGGTGAAGACGCCTCTTGTCTGTCCCCCCTTGACCTTCCCTGCGCTGCCCCACCGCATGGGTGGCCCGGGGGGCCTCCCAGAGCACGGGGGTGCCGACCGTGCCACAGGCTTCTCCTGCTGCCCCGCCGTGCACGGCGTCTCACCCCTTGCGCAGTCCGAAGGCCAAAGTCCAGATTTCTTCACCGTGCACCGCGCTGCTACACTCGTATCTAAGGGTCGGGATCGCCCCGAGGAGCCCAGAACGGCGGAAGGGAGCCCAGCGCCATGGAGCTCCGCACAGCCCTCCTCTGCCTCTGTGTTGCCCTCGTGCTCCCCGCCTGGGGGAGCCCCATCCCGGCAGCCGACGGCATTCAGGCTCAGGAGGATTTTGACGAGGAGAAGGTACTGGCCAGCCGGGGGTGGTGGGGAGCGGTTTGTGGGGGCCAGCCTGTCCGGGCAGGGGGAGTCTTCAGGCGCCCAGGGGGGCCTTGCTGCATGCCCTGTGCTCTGTTAGCTCAGGGCCCAAAGAGCCCACTGGGCGGGCGACTGCAGCGCCTGCATTCCTAGCCGGGATGGCTAATGAGCGGGATGATGGGAACTGATAACAGACCCCGTCCTCCAGCCACAGAGCTGGCACCCCGTGGGGTGGTTCCAGGAGGCGGACGGGAGGGAGATCCGGACCCGGCGAGGGGAGGGAAGCCGCCTTCGGTGCAGAGAAGCTGGGGCCCCCTGCCAGCAGTGGTGGTGATGGCCTCCCCTTGGCAGGCAACCTCCCCGAAGGCCGGCCGTGCCTGCACCCCCCGAGGGCTCCCGGAAGGGATGCAGGATGCCGGGGAACATGGCAACTGATGGGTGGCTGGGCCAGGCGGACCCAGCGGGTCCCCAGACAGTCCTGTAAGTCGCCACCCAGGGCACCCAAAGGGCACGGGGCTCCCGGTGGCTGATCTGAAGCCGCCTGTGGCTGGCTGGACAGAACCTTGCTCTGCCTCCTGGACCAGGCGGGGTGCAGCCCTGGGGACTCTTTCTCACACGCAGCTCGAGCTGTGGGCCGGGGAGGCCCTTGCGTCTGCCCCGGGCCCCTTGAGCCACCCCAAGAGACTCTGCCGGAGGGGCTGGCCGCACACGTCTGGAATGACCAAGCATGGCTGCTGCTCCCCGGCAGTTTCGGACTGGCCCTGCCAGCATTTCCGGCTTGGGCCATCCTGCTCTGGGCTGAGAGGAACTGGAGCTGAAAACTTCTGGAGGGGGGGCACCAGGCAGGGCCTGTGGCGGCAGGGCCACTGCGGCGGAAGGCAGCAGAAAGGGCCGCTTTGCAGGCGTCAGTTCCTGGGCTGGAAGGGAAGCGTTTTGTTGGCTGGCTGGCTGGCATTCCTCGCTCGTTTAACCAGAAGTGCCCCTCTCGCCCCTGCCCTCGCAGCTGTATGGGAAATGGTACGGCATCGCTATTGGCACGACTTGCCGCTGGATGATGCAATACAAGCACCGCTTCAACATGGGTACGCTGGTGGTGGCCCCCGGACGCACGGAGGAGGAGATCAGCCTCACCGCCACCCGGATCAGGTCAGTCCCGCGCACGTGGCGAGCGGAGCGTGCGCGGCCCCCTTGCTGATGCCGCGGAAGAACGGACGAGGCCGGCCGGGCCAGAGCGATGACGTGGCCGCCTCCGGGGACCTCGGAACGGGTGTGGGCCACAAGCTGAACACGGTGCGGCTGCAAAAAAGGCAGAGGCCGGCGGAGGCCGCATCGACAGAATCGCTGCTTCAAATCGGGGGAGGCTCTGGGCCTCCTCTGTCCAGCAAGAGCGCCTACTCTGTCCAGCTCTGGGAACCACGCTTCAAGAAAGAGGCAGGCAGACCGGAAAACATTCGGAGCAGGGCAGCAAAGAAGAGCAGGGAAGGGGGGACGAAAGCCCTGCAAGGGGGACGGGCAGAGCTCGGCTCCCACACACGGGACACGTTCCAGGGGGAGGGGCCCGGCACGGGGGGGGGGGGGGGGGCAACTCCTCCTCCTCCTCCTGTTTAATGTTTTTAAAAATTGTAAATGCGACAAAATCAAGGAAGGGTGGAGAAAAAACGAGAGAAAGAAAAGAAGAGAACAAAAAAGAAAGACTTGGACAAAAGCCTGCCCATCCATGGCATGTGTTAGCCACACCATGAATTAAAAAAAAGATCAGGAAAGCTTCACCACCCTTTTTATTTTCTCAACGTGCAAAAGATTGCTCCCTTAATCTATTTCCCGTCTCAGCGCTCCCTGTTGAATGTGGGCCTGGCACTTCCAGTCGGAGCTGAGAACTCCTTTTTGTTGCAGGCAGGGCGTCTGCAGCGAGGTGGCCACGCCGTACAAGAAGACCGACGTCCCGGGGAAGATCTGGTACTACAACCCAAGTGCGTGGCTAAGCAAGGGCAGGCGCGTGTGTGTCGCTGCTGGCGTGCAAGGATGCTCAGATCCAGCACCCAGGCTCCCAGAATGCACATTTGCGTGTGCCAGTTCGGCTGGCTCTCAAGTCTGTAAAGGAAGGTGGCTCCCGCCTGCAGGAAATGGGCCGAGAAGGCGAGGGCATTTGGTTTCAGAGAGAGACCTCGGGGGAAGGATTCAAGGGGCAGCGGCAGGAGTGACCCAGACGCAGGCCAAGGGCTCGCGCAGGGGCAAGGGGAGCCGGGAGGCCCAGAACCACAGCACGCGAAGTAATCTGGGGATGCGGAAGCCACAAAGCCTTTGCCAGGAGCAATGCCTGTGTTCCATACTGGGCGCGGGGCGGGGGAGCAAATTTTCACAGAGAATCCCAGCAAATGTATCCTCGGGTTTAGGGCGGTTTAGAGCACAAGCCATCGCCCCCCAACCGTGTCTGGGAGGTTGTGGGTTTCTCTGAGGTCCCACCTCCAAGATCCTGCATCGTCGGAGCCGGGGACCAAAGGCCGAGGCCAAGGCCCCCTGCCGTGTCGCTCCCCCAGGGAGCCTTTCCCAATTCGGGGGCACGAGCGACCAAGCAAGCCCGCTGCCGGCCTGCGTGGCGTTCCCCGGGAGCGGCTGCTCTCCCAGGGAGCCCCTTCTCCAATCGCTCGCTCTAGGGTGGAAGACGACCGTCGAGAGCTACGTGGTCCGCACGGACTATGACGAATACGCCATCTTTGTGATGAAGAAGAACGGCACCCAAGGACTCACCACCACGGCCAAACTCTACGGTACGTGCCCCGGAGCGAGCACAGCCGCGAGTCAGGCCTCCCCGACCGAGCGCGCGCCCCGCTCGCTGGAGCACAGCTCCCATCACTCCTGCTCCCCACCAAGCGGGCCATAAGGAGCACTCAACGCCTGCTCCCTGGGAGGGCGCCGTGGAGGGGCCCACGTTGGAGCAAGGTGCTGAGGGGCGCAGAAGGCCCGCCAGGCCCCCTTCCCCGCTCTCTGCCGGGCCTGATGTGTGACGTTTCTGTGCCCAGAACAGCACCGTGACTTGGGGGCAAATGCAAATGTGGGAGCGCCTCTGAACATGGGCAGAGTGCATCCTTCCCTTGCCCCTGTTTAGCTGAGGCACCTGGGAGAGGAAGAAAGGAGTTGTGTGTCCGAGGGCCCCCACGCCCTGGGCGTGCCAAATCGCCCCTCTCCTCCTCTCCGCAGGGAGGAGCCCCAGGCTGAGCGAGAGCCGCCTGGCCGAGTTCAAGCAGCTGGCCCTGGGCCTGGGCATTCCAGAGGACTCCATCTTCAACCTGATTGACGCAGGTACGTGAGGGCCGACGGGCTCGGGGTGGGAGCAGGGGCGCGGGAGGTGCTTCGGGGTTTGGAGAGGGCTGACAGGAGCAGAGCCATCCCTGGGGAGGCCCAGGCGGCCGCTTGTGCGTGAGGGCAGCCAGCCCTCACGATGGCGCCTCTGCCTCACCGTCCTTCGCAAACCACGTGCGAACCCCCCCCCCCCGACTGGGGGCACAAAGGGATTGCCGGGCACTGGACGGTCCCTGGGAGCATCCCCCCGGTGATGGGGGCCAGTACCCTGGAGGTCACTGCCCCACGCAGACAAGCGGGGCCGGGGGCACACTGGGCCCTGGACGCGGCCACAGGACGCACGGCATCCGGCAGGAAGACCAGCAGCTTTTCCAGACAAAGTAATTCTTCTGAAAATTAAAGGCCGAGGTGCCGGGATGATGCAGGACAAGAAGTACCCCGGCTGCCGTGGAAGAGACGCTCGTGAGATGCCACGGGGCCGTTCCGGTGGGCCGCGGTCCTCTGGGACGCCCATGCCCACTCCACCTGCCGCAGAAGGCTAGGCGCCTGGGGCACGGGTTTGGGGCTGCGGGCTCTGCCCCCACGGTCGGTCGATCGTGTGTGCTCACCGCCCGCGCATGTCGTCTCGTCTCTCTTCCCAGGGGAGTGTGTGCCGCCCAAGCCCCCAAATGAGCCACAGGTAGGCGTCGGGGTGCAAAGCGCCTCTTGGGGGAGGCTGGTCAGTGTGGCCGGTCTGCCCAACCAGCAGGGCCGCCGACAAGGTCCCCCGGGGGCCTCCCACGGTGGCCAGGCGATGCGGGCAGCGGGGGGAGCGGGCGCGTCGGGGCCTCCTCACCCCAGGGTCTCCACCTGTCAAGCGAGCCACAGCAGCAGGGGGGGGGGCAAAGGCAGCTGGGGATGATGGTGGCGGGCAGGGGGAAGGCACGGGCTCCCCTAGAGGGGCGTCACGCAAAGATTCTCCGAATTGAACCCCCCCATCCATTGCTGGGTTACATGTGGGAAGACACCGGACGTGGGGGGGGGGGCGGCGTGCGTCCGCAGTGGCGAATCGCCCTCCTCACGGCATTCTTGCCTCGGCAGCGGGTGCGGAGAACCACCCTGTTCGATGATGAAGGCTCTGCCGACGGCCCCCCGCAGCACCTGGGCGGCCATCAGGAAGGTCAGTGCCACGGCAGGGGTGGGCCGGCGAACACGCGGCCTCCTCGAGCCCAGGGTGGGGCAGCTCCAGCGACGGGGGGATCGGCCCCGTTAACCCCCGGCCAGCATCCCCAGCCGTGAGGATGACGGGCACGCAGCCCGCTCCACCGCCCGCAGCCCCTCACTGGAGACTGCTCACTGCCACCCTGGGGTGGGCAGGGTGAGCCCCGCGCAGCCGAGCCGGGACCGTCGGGGGCTCCGCGTTTCCGGGGATGGAGCGGGAGGCGGGAGCCCGAGCGAGGAGGCTGGCTGGGCCATCGAGCAAATGAAAAGGCCTGCCAAAGGCCGCGAGGCGCTGGCTCCCTCTGGGGGGGCTGGCCAGGCAGGGCTCCTGGGGTGGCCGTCGCTCCCAAGGCAGCTCCAGCCGTGGCACCCGCCCTGGCCACACGCGGCCTCGTGGCCGTGCGCTCGGCTCCCCCCGCGGGCCGGCTCTCCCCCGGGGGCTGGCCTCTGGCGCAGGGACCGGCCGGCACGGGTGCCGGGAGGTGGTGGCAAGGCTCAAGGCCGAGCACCGGCCCAGGCAAATCCCGGCCAACAGTCCCAAGTCCACCCCAGGAGTGGCGGAAGAGCGAGGCGAGCCCAGTCCCGCGGGGGAACGGAACGCGCAGCCTCGCCGGGCAGGGCCGGGCCGGTGCCCAGCGAGGCCATGCAAACGGGCCGTTACCTGAGGGCTGCGGCGGGAGCGAGGTCCGGGGGCGCGGGCAGCCGCGGGCAGCGAGCTCCGCAGCGGGTCGGGACCGCTCTTGCTGAGGCTGCCCCTGGAGGGGAGACCGGTTCGTCCCAGCAACCCGCGCGGAGCTGCGCCGGGCGGAGCTCGTGGGGCCGCGCAGCTGCGGGCGATGGAGGGCCCGACCCGGCGGCTGCCGGGGCTGCTCTTCCACGGTCGGCCAGCAGGGGGAGCCCCGAGGCTGCCGCAGACCCGGTCGCCCTGCGGGGCGGGGATGCTGGCAGGTGCCTCTTGCTCCAGCGCCCCCGGCCGCCCCGGCGCGGTCTGCGGGAAGGGCCCTGCGCCGCAGCACCAGCCCCCGGCTGCCCCGGGGAGCCCGGCTGGGCGGCGGAGCCAGGTGGGGGCGCTCCCGGCTGGAGGCCTCCCGGCAGCCCGACGCTTCGCCCAGTGACCCCTTCCCAGAGGAAGCACGCCATACGCCTCGCTGGCGCCTGGGCGCGCACTGACGGCCTGCGCCCCCCCCCCCCAGATGACTGCCGCAAGCCGATGGACACGGGGCCCTGCCTGGGCATGGAGCAGCGGTACTTCTACAACGCCACTTCCCAGACGTGCGACAGCTTCTACTTCGGGGGCTGCATGGGGAACAAGAACAACTTCCTCTCGGAGAGGGCCTGCCTCCAGACCTGCCGGACGGAGGGTAGGCCGGGGGGGCCGGGTCTGTGGGGCACGCAGGCGCTCCGCCAGAGGAGGGCCCAGACCAGGGGCCGCTGCCCGGAGCTGCAGGGACACGGCACTCGTGGGGGCGGGTTGGGTCCCCCGGAGACCAGCCTCTCCAAAGACCCTGCCCGACAGCAGGGAGCTGCGCCCAGGTGCTGGGGAGCCAGTGCCCGGCCCCTGCCGCGACCCCAGCTCTGGCCTGCAGGAAGGGGCATCAGGTGGCAAAAGACACCCGGGACCCTGCCCAGGGACGGCCCGGGCTGCACCGCGCCAGGGGGGCTCAGAGGAGCCCGCGGGCCGCTCCTAGTCCAGCACGCAGAGGGGGCGAGGCGGGGCTCCTGGCCAGCCCTCAGGACCCTTTCCCCCTGCTTCTCCCCCAGCGGCTTGCCGTCTCCCCATCATCCCCGGAGGGGCCTGCAAGACGACGTTCTGGGCCTTCGACGCAGGCCAGGGCAAGTGCGTCACGTTCCAGGGCTGCGGAGGCAACGCAAACAAGTTCTACCTGGAGAAGGAGTGCAAGGAGTATTGTGGCATCATGCTCGACGGTACGGCCCTCCCCTCCCCTCCCCTCCCCTCCCCTCCCCTCCCGGGCAGCGCCTCTGCAGAAGCAGAGGCCGGGGCGAGGGGCGAGGGGTCTGGCCCAGGATGAGCCAAACGAGCTGGGGTGAGGGAGCCGGCTGGTGACCTCCCCCCCACGGAGGAATCCTCTGGCTTGGGCTTCCCCAACCTGCCCCCCCCCCGCCGGATGTGTGGCAAAACAACTCCCAGCATCCCCCAACCAGCCACTGCCTGGGGAGGCTGGCGACGGCAGCCACACGCCTGGAGGGGCCCCCACTGCCCCCCCTCGGGCGGCTCACGGAGCCTCCGGCGGTCCTGCCCAACCCTCCTCTCTGCCTCCTCCCAGGGGACGAGGAATTCCTCCGCCTGTCGTCGCAGTGAGCTGGTGCCCGGGGGGCCCTCGGGGGCACAGACCGCAGGCGCGCGTCCCTTGCAGCCCGGCCTTCCCTCATCGTGAATAAAAAGACCGTCCCGCAGACCGAATGGTGTGGTGCTTTTCCAGCCGTGCAGCACTGCCCTCGGAGGCCCCGCTCCTCTGGGGCGCCAAGCCCAAGCTGCTAGTCCTGCCCGAGGCCTTGGCCCCATCCATGCAGGCAGCCCACGCCCTTCACCCACAAGCTTCCTTGTCCTGCATGGCCTTGTTGCCCCTTCCTCTTCCGCTGCTGCCGATCTCTCCCCAAAGCCCCCATTTCTGGGGGGGCCGCTGGCTTAACCGAGCCAGAGGAGCCAAGCCTCGGCATGCGTGACTCCTCCCTCTCCCGGCACTTGCTGCCCATGCCTCTTGCTCGCCCGCCGCCTCCAGGGGCCCTTTGCCCCACGGCTGAAATGTTGATCGGGGCCTCTTCCTCATCACTCGCCTTGCCAAGAGCAGGCACTAGCCCACCCGTCGCACCTGCCCGGTTCTTCTCTTGGACTGAGCCTGAACACGTCAGCATCCTCAGCACACCCCGTATCAAACATCCCATATCGCACTTTTCCGGCACCCGTGCAGGCCCATGGGGACAGAGCCAGGCCCCATAGCTGAAAGCGCTGGAGAAGTGTGACGCGGGATCAGGGGCACAGTCCATCCAATCCAGCGTTCTCCTCGCGTGGCGGCCGCTGGCCACCTGTGGCAAAACTGCAAGCAGAACCCGAGCACTGCAGCAGACTCCTACCCATCTTCCCCAGCCACCGATCCTGGAAAAAGCCTAGAGCTATGAAGACTTCCGCAAAGCGTTTGGCCCCACGATATCCTGATCAGCAACTGGGCAAAAGTGGACCAGGTGGAGCAACTCTCAGGCGATCCACACCTGGCCACAGAGCCAGACCCAAAGAGGGCCCATCAGCGGCCCCATCTCAACCTGGGGCACTGCAGGGCTCACTCCTGCCCCCCAGGCCTCTTCAACATTTCCATTGCTAACGTGGGTGAAGTGGTGCCGGGAAGTGACCGGATCTGCCGATGACACAAAACAGCCACCTGAGAGGGATGGCTCAGCTTGGGCTCTTGCTCTGAGCAGAGTCCAGCTCTTCCATCTCCCTTCCAACTCTTCCATTGCACGATCCAGGGATTTTCCATTCCTTTCCCAGTTATGCAGAAGATGGGCCTCCCTTCTCCCCAGGAGCCACACACGCAAAGCCGCCCACTCCCACCCCAGGAGCCCTTTCTCGGCCAGTCACCAGTAGCTCAGATCCCACCAGCTTGTACTGGAGCTTGGGATGTTTGGCCTCCTGTGGGTTTGCTCTAGCCTGGATCGAGACGCAGCCAGCTCAGACATTTCTTAGGACAAATCAAAATAGCAGAAAAGAGTATGCAAGCATTCAAGTTTCCCAGATGAACGCCTTGATGAACCAGGTAGCATTAAAAGAGTTCTGTGATGCTTCAAAGGTTGTTCGTTCTTTTGTGACATTTTGGTCGCTTGTAATACAGAAGTCACCAAGTGGTGACTCTTGGATTTAAGAATCCTAAGAGCTTTGAACTACTGCCTGGTCTCTCCAGGTGGCGCAAGAGGCCAACAGATCCCATCTCCACCAGTTGAATTGCCCAGACTCTTGGAGTTCAGTTGCTGGACGAATTTACACTGGATAGTAGGCATTTGAATAACTCTGCCAGCCTGGACCCGACCCTATTCATGGCCAAGCAGCACAGATCAACTTTCTGTGTTCCAAGCCTTCTGGGCTGCAACGCCCAAGCCACGGGCGCCTTAGCTAGTGCGGAGCATCAAAGCAAAGGTTGTGGATATAAGGGCAACATACATCGATGTAGGAGAGACTCCCATCCTTTCATTGCCCTTTACTGGTGTGTGTGTGCGCGTGTGTGGGGGACTTTACAAAGATATTCTTGTTTACAGTAAATGTTTTTATACTGCTGTCCTGAGGAAGAAAGTGTGAGGCAACAGCTGCCTGCAAAACAAATGGCAACATAAACATTACCGCCAGTGATAAAATCACCATTGAACTCAACACCAGTAAAGCACCAAAACCTGTTTAAAAGCCCCCAAAAGAAAGTATTACGAAGAAATATAATTATATCAGAGGCAAATTGTGGAGGAAGTCCAATACAGTCGCATTTGATTTCAAGGGAGGAAAAATCTCTAAAATGTGGGAAATGGCAAAAGGACGTTGGAGGGGGAGGCAAGAGGCGCGCGGCCCGTCAGAACGCCAGGAGGTGCCTCAAAGCTCAGTGCAAGCGCCGGGAGGCAGAAAGGCAGCAACACGTCCAGGAGTGGCCAGGGTGGTGGAGCCGCGTCGGGGAAGGCAGCGAGGGGAAGGCTTCCTTGGGAAACAGAAGCCTTGCCCAAATGAGGAAAAGGAAACGGAGCCCGAGCGAGGCAGGGCAGATGCGAGCGAAGCAGTAAGGGGCGCCAAGCAGAGCCAAGCAGCGCAAACGACACCAAGGTCCATGGGACGGAACTCTAGACGCACGAGAAGTGGGAAGGTGGCGGGAGAGACCCTCCGGCTGCTTCACCGCGGAGCTAAAGCAGCACATGAGGAGGCTGAGGTGAGTGTGAGGAGAGGAATGGATACGTGCATGAACAGATCGAGTAAAAATGGAAATTGCACTGGGCAGGCGGCTGAAATGAGTGGCGGCAGCAGGGCTCTGTGCTCACGGTGCGTCCGGCATGCGCGCCACGTGTGTGCGGCTCTCTGCCCCTTCCCCTCCCCACGGCTGTGCTGCCCGGAGGATCAAGGACCCGCGCGGCTGTCCAGGGACACGTCCTTGTCCTTGCGCATAGATGGCCTGCGGCACGGAGCGCATGCTTGCGCAGGCTGCAGCATGAATGCGCTCGGCTGTCCAGTGGTGCCTTATCGCCTGAAGACCCGTGCGCTCGCTCGCTCGCTCAGCGCCCACGTCGCTGCTCCCGGGCGCGCAGGGCGCACGGTGGGTGCGTGTCCCTTCCGCAACGCCCCGGGGGATCCGCCACCGCGCGTCGCTGCCGCGCAACCGTCGGCTTCCTTCCTGTGTGCGGCTTTGCCCGCCCCCTCCCCGTTAAGACACCCCCCCCCCGCCGAGGGGACCGCTCCGCTTTCTCCAGCGGTTGAAGGGGGCCCGGCAGCAGTTGTCTCGAGGCGGCGAGGGGCGCGGTGACCCCGATTTTCCGTGCGGCTGGGCAGCGTGAATGGCGCCATTGAGCGGCCGATGACTGGCAGCCCCGCCGGGACGGCGCCCCCGCCCGCCCGCCTTTCAGGCCCTTCCCGGAAAGCGGGGCCGCGGCCCTGCCATTGGCGGGCCGGCATGAAAGCCGCGCGGGCGAGGGCGGCCGCGGGAGCGCGCGCGCACCGGCGGGGGGGG